TTCAATAAAGTCTTGTACTTGGGGAAGTAACCTCGGCAAAATCACTTGGATTATCTCAGGATCCGGACGGCTTCCATACAAGAGTTTAAAGACGTGAATTTTTCTTAAAATAAAGGTGGAAAGATTTTCGATTCGCTGCTGGTATATGCTGAAGAGTTCCGCTTCTAACTTTGAACGATTTCTTACGGCAGGGAAGGCTTTTACTAAGGCAGTCTTGAAATTTTCGTAAGTATAGGTGGGACTTCCCGCTTGACCCAAGAGGCTTCTGCCTATACATTTGAACCAATTAAGCGCTTGGCCCCTCAAAGCGCTGGTAGCTAAGGTGACTTTCTGGAACTCATGGACTGGATACAGCATGAAGTGGTCATCCAATTTTTCCAAAAAACTGGTTACCGGTGAGTTTCCATTGAATGTTGCTTCTGGTTTCATCGATGCGCGCATGGTCTGGACGATGTAACCAAATCCTTCCAGGGCGGCAGCTGGCATTTCTGGATTCTGAGCCGCTTCTGCAGGCACCACAGGTTCTTCTTGAAACTCGGCCATGGTTATTCTTCTTCGTCGGGCGCCACTATCAGGACTTGTATTCCTCTTTACTTGCTTTGGAAACATGAACTGTCCTGACTCGGAACAGGGAGCTTACTCAAGCTATGTTCAATAAATTGTGAAGTAGACAATACACACAGGAAGGGTATACGAAACCCTTTATTTTTCTATCTTTACATATATTTCCTGAACTTCGGAATACAGAGACCAACCACTTCGTGGTCTGAACGTAAGAATATAAAAAACTGTAAACTAACTTTGGATTAATATACAAGTGCCTAACTTTAAGATTGGCCGTTATTTAACAAAAAACTGTATGTAGTACAGAGAGCTGCTAAAACTACGATACGTTTGAAATTATCAAGAGGGCTAAACCTCTGGCCTTGAAGGCAACCAGCAACCGAGTAAAACTACTATGGCAAGCGGCCTGCTTCTAATAACTCCTTCCTCTCTCTTGCTTGGCAAAAAGCCACAACTTAAGTACTTGGCGTTAGCAAGACAAATTTGCATAAATAAGTTAAAGCTTTTAATTCTGGCCGGAAGTAGAAAATAAGAAGTGATAGTAAAGATTTAAAATAAAATAAACGTTAGTAAAACTTAGGATCCTTACAACATAATCGAAAGTTCAAGCTTACTTTGATAAAATTGCTCTAACAGTCTGCAAAAAAAAAATAAGCCGAATCCAAATAGAAAATTTTCTAGTTTCGACTATGTGTAATGTATGCTTTACACATGCGCGTGTTGAAAGAAATGTTTAATGAAGTAAACAAATGAATATTAAGCTTTTTGTTTTTGTAAATTTTGATACCCTGTAGATCATAAATGCTCTTTATTTCATAAATTACGGTTTCATATTTTTAATTTTATATTTTCTGCATGCCATCTTACCAGATTTAAACTGATGATCTATAATCTGGAAAAACCGATAATCCGGAATCGCCGAAGTCCGGACGAGTCCGGATTAAAGACTTTTGACTGTATAATATTTTAAATATCCAGATTAATTGGTTTCATTTTACAAGGTTCCTCAATACTTAATTACTTAGAGAATAATAGTGAGGAACTCTATAAAGTGATGGGACACTTCTAATTTTAATATGAAAGAAAAATTTTTAAAATGTAACTTAAAATAAGAAACTAATTTATTATTGTTCCACAGTTTTTTGCATTTTAAAGCAAAATAATTTATTTGCAAATTAATAAAAAACAAGCAAATATATATATATGCAAAGTATTACTATTTATAGTACTACGCTGAAATCATGGCCACAAAAGAGTTGGCTCATTTAAAGTAAATATAACGAGAAAAGCACATTATGTGTATAATTTTAACTATCACTAAATTGTAAAAGGCACATGTAATTTTTAGTTGAATACGAATTTGCTTGAAGAACATACTTTTAACTTTTATCTAATTGATTCAACAACCATTTTAGCACTTTTAATACAGATTTCTTCTTGTTTTTTTAGCTTGAAGTTTTATCCCTACTTTGGAAGAAGTTTAGTTACCTTTTCATTACCCCATTTCTTGCCAGTTATGCTATGAATGATTTAGATCAGAGACTGGGAAGTTATTGGTTTGATATTAAACCAGTTAAAGAAAAACCAATACTATATTGTATGATTACATCATCTCAGTAGAACTAAAAACTGTTTTCTGGGGGGAGGGAGGCATATATTTTCGCAGATGTTTTCATATTCTGTTTTTTGTATTAAAGTACACTAAATGGTGTGTATGTCTTCAGTATAATCAGTTTATCGAGTTACAGTAAGCATGTAATCATATAATCCCCAACTTGTGTGATGATGTTCATCTTATTTCACTGTTGACATTAAATTCTTCTCTTCTTTTTCCTTTTTTAATACCCTCATATTTATTTTGTTAAGTTTTTCATGCGTACTTCATCCTCCTCCTCCTCAACTATTAATCTTCTATACAATTAAAAAATATTGAATATGCTTTAGTAAAATTCTTTGTGTTTTTTATTCTAATGAATGTTTTTTTTTTTTTTCAAATGAATGTGTTTTTTCTTACACTAAGTACCGAAGAAAGTTTTGCTCTTGATACTCTTAGAATTTTCTTAATTTCTTTCAAATGGATTTTATTATTATATACTGAATATTTTAGAATGCATCCACATCATACTTTCTCCTTGATGTTCTGGTTTTTGTTTGCTTTTCCATTTCGACAATGCAAATCACGCCAAGCAGACTTTATTGGCGAAAACACACAGTATATGTATAAAAAAAATTTAACAAATGCTAGTTCTAAGAATTTTTTTAGAGGCATAAACATTTTAATGTCATTTAAATTTTTTTCATATGGGTCTTTCTTTTGCCTTCTGTACATAAATTCTGCAAGATAACTTTTCAGATGATGGCGTGCCATTCCTCTGTGTTCCTTATAGTGCCATTTGGTGCCACCCGATAGTCTTTCTATTTTTTCTGTGTGCTTTTCTGGATCAACAAAATTTTATTTCTAGTTCTCAAATCTTTTCTCTTCCAGTTTCTCAGACTGAGTTTCACATCATTTAACTGAAATTAATTCTTTGTTCCAACCATAAATAAATCTCACACACTTCAAGAAAGTCTATTTCGATGACACAAACCATGTGCCCTTCCAGATACTTCTGTTTCTGTGACAAATTGAAAGGTTGCAGTTCTACTGAATTTTGTCTCTGAAATATAATTTCATTTCATGATTATTATCACAAGTAGCAGTTTTAGGCAAAACATTTTTCACTTGAAAGAATTTGACAGATTCTTCCTCTGGTCTGGGCAAATCCTAAATTTTCATTAGTTTTTCATCCATTTTTGACATCTTAGGGAAAAGACGTGACTGATAAAAAAATGGCTACAACTTGTTTTGAAAATGTGGCGGTAAAAAATTACTGCCAAGATATACTGTTTGGTGTATCATTTTTGGCAACTTTAATCGCTGGTGAAAAGGAAAAGTGCTTTGTATTAAACACGTTTTTCAACTTAAAAACAATTAATGATTTCAAATATATTTCCAATTGGTTTACCAATTCTATCATATGAGTTTTTGGATTTCTCTTGATATTTTCTTTCTGCAGCTACATGGCTTTGTAAAGATTAGTTAATTTAACTGCTAGAGTCAGGAAAAACAGACAATTTTTATTTCATTCTGTATATTAAATTGAATTTTTGAAAAAGTATTTACCTGATTCCAAACATTTTTGTGAGGTCTACAAAGTAGTGCTTATTCATAGGGATAATAGTAGTTGTTGAGATGATGGAACATGTTATATTCTTGAGAAGCTTATTTTTAACTTGAATTACAAATTGTGATGGACACAATCTGGAGGCCTGCTTTTTATCATTTTACATCATTATGGCAATACAGTTAGTTAAAGAGGAGTAAACAGCGATGTGGTTCGCACAATAGCAAGCAAGAGCAGAAATGTCTAACATAAGAATTGTTTCCAGTTTACATTTAATCACTGTTTAATCACTAATAACTTTTATTGAAGTGACATTAGTTGCATCTTAAACCTTCTGAGCACAGGTACAAAATTGATGAAAACTGAATAAAAAATACTGCCTTTTTTCCTGCAAAAGGGAATGTTTGCATGTATTCAGGATAAATGGTGAATGCATTGTTTGCAGAATTCATTATCAAAGGGTTAAAAAATATCTCTGGTCAATGGCCATACAGCTAAAGGAACAGAATATTTGTAGCCCCTTTTGGTTTCTCTTTCTAACAGTTACAATATAACGGCAGCATGAGAATTTTGTAGTTTTCTTATACAGTACAGAGATTGGCTAGTTTCTTTCAGAAAGACCTGTGGTAAGGCATCCCTTTGTATAGGTAGTAACACTCATGTGCTTAATTAAAATACTCCAGTTTTTAAAAATTATTACTTTACTTTTTTATATTATTTAAATCAACAGTACAAAAATAAATAGATGGACAAACACATGATTAAATCAAATAACAATTATAATTTTATTTATTGTAGGAAGAATAAGCGATACATATAACTTATGTTTTATTCCATGTTCCATTGATAGCTAAGTGCTGCCATCCGAGGCTGATGTATTTAATTTCTTCATTTTAAAGTTTCTGTCATAATAATATTAAAATTATGTAAAAATCAGGATTTGTTGTGAATCCAAACTTTGGTATTTCTCATGCATTAAACAAACTTTCGTTTTAGTTTTAATCATTGATTTTTCTTCAGTGCTTCGAAGTTTTTTCTTTTATCTTTTTGTACATTTATTTTTTAATTATATTTTAATTTAGCTTAAATTAAATTTTTATTTCCTTTTTAAAATTTATTTTATAATTTAACACTAAGGCTCAGAAACTGATTTAAAAAGTATTTTAATTTAAAATTTAATCATTAAATATCTGTTTCCTAATTATGTTGTTTCATTTTCTGATTAGTTCATAAATCTTTTCTAAACTAAAATTGTATTTTTACTTTTTTCAGAAATTGAACACAAGTTAAAAGCCATTCAAGATCTGTGTTCACACCTTGAGGTAATAAAATTTTGATGTTATATTATTCAAAAATCTATTTTTACATTAAGAAGTTTATACATGTCCCATGTAATGCTGTAATTTCTATTATGCAAATAAAAGTAAAATTAGTATAAAACACTTATTAAATATATTATTTATTTACTAAAGTAATCTTGATTATATTATCTCCCAGTGGCGGCTCGTGGCTAAAATTAGTGGGGGTGCTGTTCCAAAAAAATTTAACCTTTGTTTTAAAAGTATGTAAAAAGAAACAAACAAGTATAAAAAGAAAATTTATTTTGAAACTTCATGAAATCTTGCAAGAAAAAAATGAAACATTTCTTAATGACTTTAATCAAAATTATTACAGTTCATTCTTTGTCTAATCATTTAAAAATGAAATCCATTCCTCTTGTTTTAATTTGTGCGAAAAGGTCAATAATTTTCTCCTTGATCTCTGGATGACAACTGAGGAAATTTTTCTTTATTGAAAGCAATGCAAGCGCATTTAGTCTTTCCGAATTCCTAGCACCTCTTAGAAAAGATTTCATTTTTTTTCAATGTTGAAAAGCAGCGTTCTGCCTTTGATGTAGTCAGGGGAACTGTCAAGAGAATTTTTAATCAGTTTCGTAATTTCACTAAGAACATCATCTAGATTATTTTCGAAGATAATTTCAGTAGCTCAATTAATTTGAAGTATTCATAGATATTCAGACCTGCAATAGAATACTTTTAGTTCAGTTTCAAGCTTTTCTTTGCCAATCATTGGATATGCTTCAGTGGTCAGTACTATTTCTTCTGTAGAATGTTCATTCCTAAAACTAAGCATTTCTTAAGACACAATAACACGCCGAATAAATACTAATTCAGAAGTCAAACAACAAAAATCAGCGTTATATTTACCAAATTTTCACAGGACTAGTTTCGATGGTTTTACCGAACCACCATCTTCAGCTGCAAAACCGCAAATGAACCAGATAGGAAGTAATGATTAGATAAGATAAGAAAGCCTGGACAAGAATAAGCAAGTGGCGCAATTTGGTAAATATAACGCTGATTTTTTGTTGTTTGACTTCTGAATAAGCATTTCTTGTTGAACAATTTAGCAGCTGATAAGTATTTAGTTGAAGAATATCTGTGCATTATATCAGTACATAGTTATAAAGTCACATATTTCCTTAGCTTCTGCCATCAGTGTCTTTGAAAAATTCTTACAGTATTTTGAGTTTCTCAATTCTAAAATAGCAGTTTTGGAAACTTTAAACACACTAATTTCTCTGGATTGCATTTAGTTGTATATTATTTCAACATGAGGTATCTGATAAAAAATCTCAAACAAAACTTGAAATTATCATCATTTAGATATTTTAAAATTCCTGTTGCTTTTGCAATAGTTTGATCTGCATTTGACGTTGACTGAATTTCAGTAAGGCAATTTTTTAAAAGTTACAAATGTTCATGAAATCTGTTTATGGTCCATATGATGAAGTTCCACCTTGTGGAGGAATACAACATGCGCGGAGTAAAAAGAAATCACGTTTTCAGCAACATGCCAGAATTTTGGCACTGCAAGAGCGACAGTGCTAATCTCTCTACCCGGCTCGCGTGCTGCTTTCTGTGTGCGCATGCGCGGAACAGCCAAACACCCCACGTTGCTGGAACTGTGAAGCGCGCAGTTCCAAACAAAGACTTTCGTACCTTTTTCACAAAGTGGGGGATGGAGACTGACATTAAGATTAAGGATTATGTATTGTAAAAGTATAAAGAAAGAATTAAAGACTAAAGGGCACACTATATTAAATATTAAAAATATTAATAAGGGGGTGCTGCAGTTCCACAGTGCTTATTTCGAGCCGCCACTGTTATCTCCTAATATAAAGTTAGCAGAATGTATCTAAATGAAGTAATCCAGAAGTATGAAATTTAATAATTTTTCATTTAGATACATCCTACTAACTTTATATTAGGAGATAATATAATCAATATTACTGCGTCATTTCTAGATCAATCTATGTCGCATGGCTTGTGTAACGCCGTAACGCCTATGACGTTGATGATTTGGATTGATGCCGTAATGCCTATGACGTTGATGATTTGGAATCTAAACTCAAAAGTTCGAGAACTGAAACCTTGTAACCTAAACCAAAATCTTCTCTTGTTGAGTCTCCATATTGGATAATTGTACACTTAGCTTCTGCTAATCTTCCAGCAGTGATGTTTTTTCACTGTGCTCTTTTCTTATCGCAATAGTATTCAAAATTGTAAGTGTTCTTGAATATGAACAAATAGAGTGTCAAGTAAATTGTGGCCACAAATGTCAATCGAAATAAAAATAAATATTTAGTATTACTTGGCTGCTAAGTTTCTTAGTCATTATGGGTTCGGTATTTCAGCATTCTGCACAATCAGAAGTCTTCCACTTCAATATGCCATGTATGTGTTTCACCATCAGCATTTCTGCATTTCTGCATCTCATTTTAGGATACTATTACCTAAAAAATATGATTGCAGATATCAGAGTCAAGATTCTGTTATTTTTTGCTGTTATTATATATGTTTTTCTTTGTCATTTTGGACATCCTTTCCAGTTTCATTAATTTAACATTGAATAATTAAACACGTTCATTGATAAAGGCATTCAAGAGCATATATAGAATTAAAGTAATGTAAAAAGTAATAAATGCATTTATCTTAATTTTGTACTTTATCTGTGCATTTTCTCAAAAAAAAAAAAAAAAAAAAAAAAAAAAAAAAAAATGTAAAAATATCAATTGCTTACATTAATTGTGAAACAGTAGTTTCATATTTTATGTGTGCATTCAAAAAAAAAAATGTAGCTGCTGTTTTAATTTTACATGACTTCATTTACTAATGTTTGTGAATCCCTAGTCTATTGTAGCACATCCCTGTTATTCTTCATTTTTGGCTCGATCAGTTGCATCCATACTAGGCTTTCTAAAAGCTGGAGAACCATGTTTCATCTCTGAAGAACCTATGCAGGTATTTGGAAAACAATACTTTTATTTTTCCATCAATTTTTATTACTTCATCAATTTTCTGGTTTATTTTTTCTCTCATTAAAATTTTAGTAACATATTACTAAAACACATGCAGAATAATTGTACGTCAGATATTGAAGTTATTATATTTTTATGTTTTTTATTTTGCATTTTAAAAAACATTCAGTGGGGTTGCAGATTTATTTAAGTCAAGTTTTATTTCAATTTTAGTTCATGTTTCCATTTAGTAGTAGAACAATTTAGTAGTAGAATGAGTAATACAGTACAAAGTCCATAATCCGGACTCCTCGGGACTTCGGCGATTTCGGATTAGGGGTTTTTCCAGATTATAGATCATCAATTTAAATCTGGTAAGATGACATGCAGAGCTTATGCAACTAAAAATATGAAACCGTAATTTATGAAATAAAGAGCAATTATGATCTAAAGGGTATCAAAATTTACAAAAAAAAAAAAAAAAAAAAAACCCTTAATATTTATTTGTTTACTTTAGTAAACATTTCTTTCAATGTAAGTTGTTTAAGTTGCTTTGTTTTTTGTGCTAATACTTTCTTTTTAATTCTATAAACAGACATAATTTCTTGTTCAGTTACAAAGTTCCATTGTTCGAGTTCTGTAATTGCTGTGTCGAGAATACTGACTAACTTGTCAACCGAATTTTTTTCCTTTTCAGTAACGTTCTCTGTTACTTTCTTCACTATCGGAAGCATGCATGTGTAAATGCTTTACTGGCTTTATGCGCATGCATAGGGGACGTACGCAAGTTTGTGGCTTTGAGGTCTGGCTTATAGATCATTCCGGATAATGGACGTCTGGATTATGGGCTTTGTACTGTATATGCTTGAATTTCAGGAATAAAATTTCATAATACTATGTTTAATGTGTTTATAAAATTTATCTGCTGATTATCATGTAAACCATTAAAATTCAAAGTAGTGGTAAAATGTTTAATTCTGCCACTTATTAAATTTTAGACTGGCATGCATCTGTTGCTTTTACAAGTACCACTATTTTAGTATGATTATTTGTTTTAAAATCAAGAAATTAAATATTAAAATTTTCTGTACTTTTAGTTTATCTGCATTTAAGAAATTGTAGTGGTGCTAAATGATAATAGCAATAAATATCTTATCCTATATTCTAATCCTGTCCTCCCATCAGGCACATGTGACTGTTGTTATCTTAGCTATGACTTGTTTCACATTAATTATTTCCTTCATGGATCCAGCTCTGGGGGCACTGTAGACATGGGATTACAAATTACCAGAGCACATTTTTCGTAAAGAGTCCCCTTTGGCCCTCTTTTTCTTAAGTAAGATTTCAAGAATCTTGACTTGGCATCTTTATATGTAAAGTTAAAAAAGTTCAAATAATTACTAAATAAAAAAAACAGATTAAAAAAAAAAAAAAAAAATTACAAAAAATTATTTTCACAAAAATATTTTCTGCTATAATATTTGCTTTTAATGTGAAATATACCCAGTTAAAGGGCTTTGGGCCTGTTTATTTTTATTTATTTATTTAATTGTTCTATTATTTGTCAAAATTGTGCCTTTCTTTTAATCTTAAGCAAATATGCTCTATTTTCTAATAAAGTAATTACATACAACATTGATTTTCTTATATGATATTTAAGGGCTGTCGTTATAATTGGTACCAGGATGCACAGATTCTGTTGTCATTTGTCACATAAAAAATAATAAAACTGAACTTACGAGCATTTTTTAGAGTCCCAAGATGTTGCCAGAAAATCAAAAATGTTCTAATTTCTATGTAATGATGTTATATATTCCTGAAAAAACTTGTAGTGGAAATTCAGCTTTAAAGAGCATAGAAAATGGTAATCATGGGAGTAAGAAATTCACCTAAAGGAAATCTGATTGCATTTCCAGCCATCTGATTTATTTATTGTTGCTGCAAGGAGTACTATCAAATTTTACTAAGATAATATGGATATCATGAGGAAAACTGTCATAAAATGTAGTACTTATCTTAAAGAATTTTATGTTGCAGGGGAAAAAAAGGGGGAAAAGAAAAACTGCAATATATAATATCCAAACGGCAAGCAAAGTAATTAATATCTACATCATTGTCAAAGTTATCTAGGTACTAGCCTAGTCATGCTTTGTCATGAGGCACAAGTACTGCAATTTTTAATTCAAATAATATTTTATTTGTAGATTTTTCTCTGTCATTTTTTTATTAACATATGGAAATGGTTTTAACTCTTTTTATATTTGCAGCAATTACGAAAACTTCTGTTAGAATTTTTGAATCGAATTCCATCAAAAGATGATTTACTACCTTATGTGCAAAAGATATTAAATCAGTTGTTTGAACAATTTACGGTAAATTTCTAAATATGTGTTTATTTCCTTTTTTTTTATTTATGTTACATATTATTTTAATCTTTATTAAATAATGGCATTAAATAAGTACTGATGTAATTTTTGCTTACAAATTATTGTTGAATGTTATATTATTATTCAGTTAACAAATTCTCAGAAAAAAAGCATAAAAATCAGAATCTTATATGTCTGTATTATTAAGAGGAATCTGTATTTACATGTTTGTTCCTCACATTGCAGAAAAAACAGCAGTGTTAGAGCTACCAAATTTTGAGCACTTAGTTCTTTACCAAAATATGCAGATTTCGAAGCCTGAATTTTAAATTTGAATTTCCTTTTATTATTTATGTCATATTTTACACTAATTTAATAGATTTTTTTTTTACATACTTAGCAATTTTTAAAATGAGTATTGGCCAACACAGCTTGAAAGGAAATATTTTTATCTTCAGAATGCCAGACTGTTGCCATTTGGCAAAATGTTGTATATTTATCTTTCCCTTTTAATCAACAAACTTAGTCATTTAATGTTATATGTTGCCACTGTTTAAAATGAAATACTTTTATCTTCCACACTTCTCAACATGTTGCCATTTGGCAAAGCATGAGATATTTAATTTTTATATTTATTCTGTGTGTTTAACAAACTAAGCAGTTTAAAAGCACAATGAATATTTAATACCAAGAACAATAAATATTCTTAAGAAATTTTTTAAAATTTGTTAATTGGTTTGATTTAAATAAAAATGCATTTAAACTATGAAATTATACTAGTAGGACTCAGTAAAATCATTGCATATTTTTTCTTTTTTTTTATGATAATTATTTTAGACTGTTAATTAACATATAAGCATACTGCTTAGAAATAGCACAGTGCATTTAAAAGTACACATCATGTTGTTGACAACTGGGAATTGATTTCATCATGCAATAAATATGTGAAATTTTGTTACAGAACTGTTATGTTAGGGCTTGGATTTTGATAACCTCAAAATTCACTGAAAATAACATAAAAATAACCAGAAAATGCCCCTTAAAAAAAAAAAAAAAAAAAAAAAAAAAAAAAGGTTTCCCCAAAATAAAAACATAATAACCTAGAAAATGACACACTTGACAAACACTAGCAAGTGGATTAAAACCCATACATAGCTGTCGCTTGAAATTTATTTTTTCTTCCAAATTTTAAACCTTACACAAATGTATCACAATTGCACTGAATTATTAAGTGCTTCTTGATTTTTTCAAAAGTGAAAGATCTTCTACTGTCAGTATATAAGTTTTTATATTATGAGAAGCTTATCTCAGCATTTAAAGCAGTTATTGAAGCAAACAAACAAACAAACAAAAAACATATCACTTATTAATTCTTCAACAATTTCAAAAGAGTTGCTTCTCCTGTTATGATGAGAGATATTTTCTGTGTAGTATGGAAGTCACAGTTTTTAATCAAAACTGTGTTGAATTTATCAAATGGAGTGTTTGAAACTGCTACCCAGAACCTAAACTTGTTAGGGAAGTCTTCGGCAGTACCGAAGAGCCCAGGTTTGAATCAAAGAGAAGGCATTGATGTTTGTAAATATATAAGTGTCTTTTAGCCGCCCAGATGGTGTAGTGGTTAGGGGAGCATACTGCAGTATCAAAGGCACCGGTTTTGAATCCAGAGAAGGCATGGTTGTAATTGTCCGCCCTTTCATAGGAGGCAGCATTTGCTGCCTAATATGTGCCTCCACAATAAAATGGCCAGTGTTGGGAGGTGAATAATTTTTAATTGCTAAAATTTTAGAATTTTCTGTCTCTGTGCCATTTTTTAAAAAAAATTATATCCCAAAATCTAAGTTCTTTAAGTGCAAATTTACATTTTGAGGAATTAACTTTGAGGCCAGCTTCATTTAATAAGAAGAAAACTTCTAAATGTTTAACATGTTTGTCAATAGTTCCACTCGTTGTAAATATGTCATCAAGATATACAAAAGTACTTTTCTTAGGATGTGTCTTAAAACTATATCTGTCATTCTTTGAGATGTTGCCGGAGCTCCGGCAATGGTAAGCCAAACGGTATTCTCAAAAATGCATATATGCTTGATTTCACAATGAAGGCACTCTTTCCAATATCTTTGTGTTTTATGCCAGTTAAGTTTATAGTTTCTTTAGTGACTTTTGTTCCTTAAGAGAACAATATTCTCAATAATAGTAAATGAGCAGCATCTGACTGAAAAGAAATCCATTGGTATTTTATTTAGGTTTCATGGATAAAACAGTGGATCCATTTTATTTATTTTATCATTTAAATAATAAATGTTTAACACACCTTGTACAGTACTTGTAAAATGTGTTGTAATTATGTTGTAATGGAAAAAAAAAAAAAAAAAAAAAAAAAATCAAATTCTCCTGTGTCGTGGATCTGAGGAATGAAAATGTTCTAATTTATGTAAATAAAAGCAGCTATACAATACTATAAAGCCTGTCATTTTTCAAATGCACTGCATGCAGAATATTTTAATTATATTACATTATTTTAGGTTAGGTCACAGAATTAACTTGCTATATTTCAGGTTTTTTGGAATATTTATCCTATGGAATTAGTTTTGTTGTTAGAAATATCTTTAGAAGATAATTCTGCTTTTTCAGCATGACAGAGCATAGCATTGTTGTCTCTAAGAGGGATACCATTAGAATAGTGCTATTTACCTGTAACAGGTGTTCTCATTAACTAAGTAACAAAATACATGGTTGTAATTAAGCTACGTAGGCAGAAACATTTTTTAGTATGTAATCTCAGTATGGCTAGAAATGCCATGGCAAAAGACAAAAAGAAAATAATAAATTAATGACAAAGTTATTCAAATGAATAGCTGGTCTGGTTTCATTAACTAAACATTACTTACTTCTTCAATGACTGGAAAAAGATGAAGAAAGTATGTGAAAAATTCTTCAACATATTAACAGTTACTGAATAATGGAAAGAAAATGAGAAACTACCGAGGAAGATTATTTATAAGTCTCAAATCAATGTGAAGATCAAGGGAGGGGGAGCTGAATAATTTATTAAAATGAAAATTTAATTAGGATGAGATATAAATCAATTGTTATTGGGTTACCAGGGCTGTGGAGTCAGTAGGGAAAATAACCGACTCCGACTCCTGGAATTTGAATGACTCTGACTCTCTCATATATATATATATATATATATATATATGTAAACATATACACATGGGTTACAGCTTATTTTTTAATATGAAAGAAGTAATAGATGCTACAGGAAAAAAATTGATGGTGTAGCAAATGATTTATATTAATTAGCATTTATTATGAAATGGGAAAACTGGCATTAGTTATTTCTAAGAAACAGTAGCTTTGGCAAGATCTTTGTTGAAGGACCACAGATCCGATTTGATAAACTTCAGAGCTGAGAAGAGTCTTGCCACACTAACTTGAGTAGGAGGAAGAGCTCTTACTTTTAAGGCTACTTCTTTTAACTTTTCAGGATAGATTTTTGTAAGTTCTAAAAGAGGTGTCTTTGCAAGTGCAATCATATTTCTTTATTTCTTCAAAGACTGTGTAGAAATCTTTTTTGTATTTTATCATTTTTATATCTAAAGGCTTTTGGTTCTTTATTTTCATTCGCTTTGCCTTAGCCTTTTCAATATTATTCAAAAATATTTCTCAAAATCTAATTCATCACTGGAAGAGGATCATAGAGACTCAATTGCAATGTCTGCAGTTTGACTATCCTGATTCGAATTCTCCAATTGTTCTGAGAATAATTTCATTTATAATGAAAGTTCATAGATGGCTTTCTTTGCCTTTTTAATTTGTTTGTCATCCAAGAAAATTCAGTGTTTCGGATCTACATAAATTGAACCCAGCAAGATCTCATTGTCTAGCAAACTAGTTTCTCTTTTCGTCATTGAAGAAATGATTCCTTCTGCAATAAACCCTCCATTACAGAAAGAACAAACACCCCATTCTTCCATTCTTGCCTCCTGTCAATTCTTCAGATTGTAGCTTTTTTGTGGCTATATATGGTGTAGAAAGAAGAGTTTCCGATTCTGCAAGATCATTCCACAGTCTTTCTGTTAGTGAAACATTAGGGTTATCTACATCTTCTAAAAAAGTTCTTAATTCTAAAAACCTTTTTATCATCAAATATGTACTTCCTTATCACAGTGTTTGATCAAAAATTGCTCCTTTTCCTGCTCGCTTCCTAAGAATGGCATCAATTTTGGGAGTTCTTGCTGCTGTTGCTGCTTCCCTAAATTTACCAGTGAGATTTTGAGATTTGTTACTAAATGAATCGGTTTAATCACTAATGGCACATATCACATCCATCCTCCTCTCTTATATTTATTTATTAATATGTCAATAAAATACTATAAATTAATGTATATAGTCCATAAATAAAAATAATAACTCGGCTTGTCATTAATTTTTTTCAATTCATTTTAATTTCATTTCAAATTCAAACTGTTCAACAAACCTGGAGTCGGAGTTGACCTGTTTTTAGAGACTCCAGCTCCGACTGCTTTTATCCCAAAATTTGCCCGATTCCGACTCCACAGCCCAGTGTGTTACTAAAAGTTATGAATGTTGCTTGATTCATATTTTAATTATTTGTATTGATATTTTTGACCTATTATGTTACTCATTTATTGGAAAACATTGAAAGAACAAATATAAAACAATGCATCTGTTTAATATGCAGTAAAATATTTTAGGTCAAAACCAGTTAAAATGAATTTATACATTTATTCATTGTGGTCTAATCTGGTTAAGCATATAATCAGTAACAGAGTAGAATTAATTATTAGTAGAATTATATTTCATGAATTTAATTAAAGATATTTTATATAGTACAATTTTAAGATTTATTGTTATTTTTTTCATAGAAGATTTATTTGCTGTGTGAATTTAATAGTTGATGCACATAGATTTTTTTATTTTGCAAAATAGTTATTTAAAAAATAAAATACAGTACAAAATCTGAGATCCGGACTGATTTAAAATCCGGACCTCAAAGCCCTATTTTTTAAAGTTTTTTTTTTTTTTTTTTTTTTTTTTTTTTTTTGCCATGCTTTACGCATGCACATTTGATTCCCTCCCATAATAAAATATGTCGAGAGTCCTGATTATTGATTTCACTTCGGCACTAAATAAAATACGTCATTATTAAGAAAGAATCATTTTAGCATTAATTTGTGTGATCACTAATGTGGCTCCGTAGCTGCATATTTGCTTGGCATACATCTCAAACTGAAACACTGTACATACGAACATGGTTGATTTTACACCTTTTATTATTTTATATCTCTGACGCCAACCTGGCGAATCATTATTTATTATAATTTGCTATCATCACTGCATGTTTATAAACACATGATAATTAGAGTAATGACTCTTGCTGCAATACCAAAATATAATTTTTTTTTAATATTAGTTAATATGGTCATCTTTTATTTCGACATTATGCTTGGAGATGATTACAGATTTAAATTCAATGCACTAAGAAATGTTGACGAGGAAAATTTTAACAAAAATTTCTTTCCATATGCTAAACATAGATTTTGTTAATGATACTCATAGGCCAAAAGATTACATTTAGTGCTATTTGAATTAAGAATAATTGATTTGTTACTCACATAAACCCAGAACCAGTGACAGAACTCTTATGGCTGCATAGGGTGGCAGAATTTAGGAAAGACAAAATTTTTAGAATTTAAAGAAGAACTAAGCCACAAAATTAAGGGATGACAAAATTTTCAGAATTTAGGGAAAGCACTGGGACACAAAATTTAGAGGTGATAAAACTTAGAACTTACAGAGGTTTTTGATAGCGGACGTGCAGAGACTGCATCAGGCGGTAAAGATATCTAGGCCCGGGCCTCAATAAGCTTTAAGTATATGTGGGAATTTATTTATTCAGGACTAGGATAAGCCTTAAGTATGTGAAAAAATATACAAAGTATATTTAATAACCAAGCAAATGTAATGCAGGCATAATTGTCATAGTACGCAATAGAAGCAAGACAAAATTTTATTGGAACAACTTGTCATTCATCGCCAGTCTCATGAGAAATAGCCAATAATTTATTAAGCTAGGCTAAAATTATAATTTACTGATTCCAAGGACTTTCAGTTAATATAGCATATTATGCTGTTTTTTAATTTTCTAATTTGATCCAGCTTATTTATTATTTTTCGCAGGCTGTTATTACAGCAGTTTTATGAAAATTAAAGTTTCAGCTTTCAATTATGTCGAAAAGAGTTTCTAGTTCTGGAGCTGCAACAGGATCTACAAAGCAAAAGCATGTTTTGATGTCCATTTACACGTTCACGGCGGTGCGGGCCACTGGTGGCCTGCACTGGTCTGTCTCATCGGGCTACGTGTACCACCGGTTGCCCACACTAGACTGTCTTATTAGGCGGTGTGTGCCACCGATGGTATGCATTCGATTGTGTTATTAGATGCTGAAAATTAAAATAATGAAAAATTAATGTTTATTTATTATAAAAACTTTTTAATAACAATTATAATTAATAACTATTAGCAAAGTACTACTAGCATACAGGTCTGAACAGGTAATCGCGTGCCACCAGATGAAACGAGGCAAAAATTCGAGTGCTGTCTCACGGCGAAGAACATAAAAGTTGGCCCCGGCGTGAACCTGTTAAACAAAAAATGGAATTGCTTCAAAAAATGGATAAAGATATATATCCATCTCAAAATTATGTGAGGAGTATGGCATTGGAAAGTCAACTGTACATGAGATAAGAAAACAGAAAAAGGAACTTTTTGAGTTTTTTACGTATTTCAACACTCCACTCGCAATGAATAACAGAAAAACTATTTGTTATGCTGAAATGACTATTATGACAAAGTGATAATTGAATGGGTCAAACAGCATCGCAGCAAGGGCATACCATTGGCGGGACCAATGCTAATGGCTCATGCCAAAATATTTCATGAAGAAATTAACTTAAAAACTGAGTGCACATTTTTGGCAGGTTGATTAACCAAATTTTAAAATCACCATGGCATAAGTGAGTTAAAATTTCAGGTGAGAAAGCTTCAGCTGATACTGAAGCTGCTGAACTATTTGCAGATGATTTCATTGAACTCATTAATAGTGAAAAGTTATCTCCAGAACATATTTACAATGCTGATAAAACTGATCTTATCTGGCAATATATACCACAGAATACCTTGACAACATCTGCAGAAAAGGCTCCAACTGGTGCAAAAATTCCAAAGCGAGACTAACAATTTCAGCGTGCACAAGTGCTGCGTAAATGTAAATTTTTCCTAATCAGAAAAGATACACGACCTCGAGCATTTAAAGGTGTAAAGATTTTCCCTGTTTTATATCGTGCAAATAAAAGAACATTGATGAAACAAACGTCAATGAATGATTGGTGTGAAAATCATTTCATACCCGAGGCTCAGCAACATTTGAATTCAGTTGGTTTAACTGATGAGCCAAAAATTGTCCTGATTGAAGACAACTGTTCAGCTCATACAGAGTTTTAGAGAAAGATAATGTATCCATATTATTCTGTTCTTCAAACTGTATATCCATCATTCAGCCTATGGATATCGGAATAATGTACGCTCTGAAATGCAAATATGAAGTAGCATTTTTTAAAATCTATATTAAATTTCTTGAATAATGCCAATGCTATTCAAGAATTTTTTAAATACAGGGTGTTTATAAAGTCCCAGACCCATTTTGATGTTTAATAACTCAAACAATAATGAAGATATAAACAAACTTATGGCATTTATTGATGGAATAACTTATATATTTTCTTTTTTAGGTTTGAATACTTTTGTAAATATCGTCTGCATGTGTGGTTAATTTCAGATAATTTCATTTTCCAGTCTAAATATCTGTACTTTTCTAAATGTCATCTGCTTAGTAATTGCATTTTCCTCCCTTTTGTTTTTGGCAACTATTGCAATGTTATGTTTACTTTTTATGCGTTTGTTCTAGTACTTTTGTATGTGATGTTTTATTCGACCGTATATTAAGGAGAATGCATACACCACAAGAGAAAGCACAGATTTTATGGTGGTTCATAGAAACAAAATCCATAATGCAAACACAGAGAAATTGCAGAAGAATTTACCAAAAAAATCCTCCATCCAAAAGCAGCATCTTGCGGTGGAAAATTTTTTTTCTAGAAACTTGAAGTATCGCAGATAAGAAATGTTCCGGACGTCCCTGCACAAGTGATTTTGATATTGAGCGTGTCAGAGAGACATTTTTACACAATCCTAGAAGATTTGTGAAATCAGCGCCAAGAGAATTGGATATGCCAATTTCGACGGTGTACAAGTTTATTAAGAAAAAATTAAGACTGCATGCATACAAAGTTCAAATTGTTCAAGTTTTGGAACCGGACGATAGGCCTAGGAGGATGGCCTTTGCAACAGATATGCTAAGGAGGATAGAAGATGATGCTGAATTTCTGAAGCGCATAATGTTCTCTGACGAAGCATCCTTTCATCTTTCTGGCATTGTTAATCGCCATAATGTGCACATATGGGGATCTGAAAACCCCCATGAATACCGTGAGACACAAAGGGATTCCCCAAAGGTTAATGTGTCATGTGGACTAATGCACGACTGAGTCATTGGGCCTTTCTTTTTTACAAAAATGACAGTCTCATCAGTCGTATACTTAAACATGTTGGAAAACTTCGTATTTCCACAACTAGAAGACCTTCAACGACATGTCTTTTTGCAACAAGATGGTGCACCACCTCATTGGGGTGCCATCATTCGTAGTTCTTTGAATGACCATTTTACAGGAAGATGGATTGGGCGAGGAGGTCCAATTCCTTGGCCACCCAGATCACCTGAATAACACCACTGGACTTTTTCCTTTGGGGATTTGTAAAGGACAATGTTTACAGCCGGTACCTGACGTGAAATTGAATATCGACTTGATATTCTCCGTGCGATAAAGGGGGCACATGTGGAAGTTCATTGACAAGGGTCATGAAACTTTTTGAGTCTATCTAACCATTTATGTTATTAATTTTAATCTATCTTTATTATTTTATAAGTTATTAAACATCAAAATGGGTCCGGGACTTTATAAACACCCTGTATTTTATTTTAGCATAAAACCAGCTGGAGCACCACAAGATTGGGGAGTATGAGTCTCCAGATACTTTAAAAAATGCTGTTCTTGTTGCCAGCTACAATATTTTGTGGTGAGAACAATGAAGGTGATAGCCGCTAATTTGAAGGTTTTCGTATATGGCAAACAGAAAGTGAAATTTTCCAATTAATGCATGTAAAGAAATGTAGAGAAGTGGTAAAAGTTATTGAAAAAGAAAAAATTTCAATTGACGAGTTAGTTGGAATTCTCAACACAACAATTACAACTTTGTATCTGAACAAGAAATTATGTCTGTCTGCACACCTAAAGAGAAAGTATAAAAGTAAAAAACAAAGCAACTTAAACAACTTACATTGAATGAAATGTTTAATAAAATAAACAAATAAATATTAATCTTTTTTTTAAAATTTTGATACCCTTTAAATCATAAATTCTTCACTATTTCATAAATCACGATTTCATATTTCTCCATGCCATTTTACTAGATTTAAACTGATGATCTAATATCCAGAAAAGTCTCAAATCTGGGATTATAGAGGTCCCAATGAGTTCGAATCTTGGACTTATCCAAAATAAAAATTTATAAATGTTGTAAATTTTTTAAAAAATGTTTGACATCAAGTAATTATTGCATTAATAGTTTAAATAAGATGCAAGATAAATATTAAGTTTTGCTATATGTTTTAATTTATGTATACAAATTTTCACACAGTTTCATTTCATAGGTGGAGAATGAAGAAAATGGCTTAATTATTTTAAAAATTGTAGTAGAATTTCACAAGGCATTTAAACTTTCTTTTAATACTCCTGTAAGTATATACCTCTCATGTTATATTATTTCACATTTTGTTTTCCTTTTATATTTAATATGTTATTATGTTATATGTATCTTATGCATATATGTTTTCTGTTTAGAGGAGATTCTGGCATTCTTTCTTATAGAACAGTTATTTAGAAAATTACCTAAAGTATATGCCCAGTATAATAAATATGCAATTTAAAAGATTGGAATATTTAATCATATTCTAGTATAACTGAGATTTTTCAAAATTTATATATTAAATTTTGCAAAATGTTGAGTTTTATTTTTTAGTGCTTGCGAGAATTTTTAATTTTAATGCAACTGTGATTTTTAATGGTTAAGAATCTCTTTACAGTTTTATATGATATTTATAGGTAATATTTGATGGGATAGTATTATAAGGTCCTAGTTATGAAATATTAAATCAAGGTATGAAATATTAAATCAACTGTATTAGGCTGACAACAACAAGTTTTTACTCCATCTGTAAATATTATGATAAAGTCCTACAAAGTTTTAAATAATCTTTTTTTTTTTCTCTCTCTAACTGGAAGTGGAGGATTTTGTAAGGAAAATTGGTGCGTATGAGTTATTTCTCAATGAGACATTTAGATATTAGTTGGCCTCTACCATAAAATTAATTTTTGAAAGCAAATAAATCTGAAATCTCTTCCCACTCTGTGATTTTGCAAAGCATATTAAAAAAAAAAAAACATTCTTTTAAGGTATTTTTAAAATTGATAAATTGATAAGAATATTTGCTTTTTTCTCCTCTGTAACAGGAGTGAGAATGATTCAACTAATAAGATCTAATTGGAAAATGCATTTTTGTTGTTGCTTTTTTAACTCTAAGAATATTAGATACAGCACATTTAGAAAAGATACTTTATGCTATATTTTCCAAACTGATGGCAATATTCACAGACTTACTCCCTTGTAATAGCTTGAGTGAGAATGCTTGATTTGTGTTGATAAGCTATGATTGAAAATACTTTTATTTTTTTAAATACTAAGAATTTTCAAATGCAGCACACTTAGAAAATTTTTTTCATATTATATTTTCCAAATTGATGACAATATTCACAGACTTACTCCCTCATAAAAAGGTTGAGTGAGAATGATTTGTTTTTGCTGATAAGATCTGATTGGAAAATATATTTATTTGCTGTTTCTAATAGAAACAGTAACAGTAAGAGGGTAAGAGTTTTCAAATACCATATTTTTGCATGTAATTATGTAAAAAGTGTTAGTGTTTTAACATCCAAACTTTGAAGATATTTAACAAATTTTGTATTGCACTTAATACCTTTTTTTTTTTTTTTAATTTTTAAGTTGAATAAAGAAAGACATTTATATCTCTTTCTAAGTAACAGATTGAATTATAATTAGTATAATCAGTTTAATCGATGGGAAAATATCACACAGTAGTTAACTGTCCACTCACAAATCGAGTTTATTTTTTTTAATTCATATATAGTTTGGTGATTATTAATTAAAGGAATTTAAATAATAAATTTTTATAAAATGAGTTTTGAATATATTCTTAACCCTTTTGCTTTAAATGTAATTTATTTAAATTTAAAGAAATTGTAAATGAAACTAATTCCATTTTTTAAACTGAGAAATGCATCAAGGAAAAATTTCAGAAGATAAAATATATTTAGTAGAAATGGCAAATTTGTCGCAAAGTAAATGAAATAAGAGTAGTTAAATCAATTTAAATGTTGATCAGTAGATTTAAGACTGTACATTTAAATACTAAGCTGGCTCAATCTAATGCCAGGTAATTGGCACGTAATAAGTTATTTGTCAATGAGACATTTAGATATTAATTGGCCTCTACCATAAAATTAATTTTTGAAAGCATATAAATCTGAAATCTCTTCCTACTCTGTGATTTTGCAAAGCATTAAAAAAAAAAAAAAATCTTTTAAGATATTTTTAAAATTGATAAGACTATTTGCTATTTTTCTCCTCTGCAACAGGAGTGAGAATGATTCAACTAATAAGATCTAATTTTAAAATGCATTTTTGTTTTTGCTTTTTTAACTCTAAAAATATTAGATACAGCACATTTAGGAAAGATAATTTATGTTATATTTTCCAAACTGATAGCAATATTCACAGACTTACTGCCTTGTAATAGCTTGAGTGAGAATGCTTGGTTTGTGTTGATAAGATCTGATTAAAAATACTTTTGTTTTTTTAAGTAATAAGAACTTTCAAATACAGCACACTTAGAAAATTTTTTTCATATTATATTTTCCAAATTGATGACAGTATTCACAGACTTGCTCCCTTATAAAAAGGTTGAGTGAGAATGATTTGTTTTTGCTGATAAGATCTGATTGGAAAATATATTCATTTGCTGTTTCTCTTATGGTAAGAGTATTCAAATACCATATTTTTGCTTGTAATTATATAAAAAATGTTAACGTTTTAACATCCAAGCACTAAAAATATTTGACAAATTTTGTATTGGTATACTTTAAAAAAAAATTGTGAGTAAAGAAAGACATTCATATGTCTTTTCTAGGTAGCAGATTGAATTATCAATTAATATATTCAGTGTAATCTATGGAAAATGTCAAACAAAGTTAATTGTCTACTCAAAAAAAATTTTTTTTTCAGATATAGTTTGCTGATTATTAATTTTATAATTTAAATTTATAATATATAATTTGGAATTTAAATAAATTTTTATGAAATGAGTTTTGAATATATTCTTAACCTTTTTGCTTTAAATGTAATTTATTAAAATTTAAAGAAATTGTAAATAAAACTAATCCTGCTTTTTTAAACTGAGAGGTGCATCAAGAAAAAAGTTTCAGAAGATAAAATATATTTAGTAGAAATGGCAAAACAAATTAAATAAGAGTAATTAAATCAATTTAAATGTTGATCAGCAGTTTAAGACTCTACAGTTAAACACTAAGTTACAAGCTGGCTCAAATAATCTAATGCTGGGTAAGTTTAAAGTATTGGTTGCTAGAGCATGCATAGACAAGATACCTGCATTTAGCTAGGGCTGGCAAAAATCAACCACGCAGCACAAATGCCAGGAATTCTCTCTCTCTCAAGATCCAGAAACTTCAGCTGTTCAGAAACACACTGTAAGCTAATTTGTATTCTGGTGAGGAATACAGAAAGAATCAAAGATCAAAAGTATAATAATTCGAATAAGAATGCTATGTCTTTCCCCATCAAAATTTAGGCAATCACAGTAAAGGTCTTTAACTCTTTCAGGACGGGCGTCCCATATACGCATTCCCTTAGAACATCTCTTACAGCTGGGCGTCCCATCCACGCATCGCTAGAGATTGCATTCAGAGGACGCGTGATGCGTATACGCATTTTAAGGTGGAACATTTTTCTGAAGGCCACCAGATGCCATCCTATGTCCATTAATTTTGAAATGAACACAGTTTTAGGTTTCTGACCTTGAGTTTGATATATTCTGCTTGACTTTGGTACTTTACTCATCAGCTCTTGCGAGGGGGGAGGGAAAGCATAAACAGAGGTGAGCTCTTTAAATCGCTGCGTGCTAATGAAAACATTTGCGTGTCTGATTTATATCCAATTCCTCTTTTTATTCTATTTTTTCCTTTGCTATGTATGGTCTTTTAGGGTTAGGATGTGAAGTACTGTTACGTTTTGCATTGCCTTCAGATATATTTCCGTTTCTTCTCTTTTTGTTTCGGAAAGCCTCATCTCCAGTCTATTATGGCGTGAAGGCGCTATTTATCAGAGGAAGAATACCCTCGTATGGTCATTGAACCATTTATTAACGCAGATGAGAGTGATGATTCATTTTCGAAAGAGTTAGAAAGTGATACTTCTCCGTGCTTCGAAATTTACCACACTCAGTCCTCATTTTAAATTTTGTTACTTCTTACTGTAAATAGTCTTTATTGTGTTGTTTTATTAATTTTAAACTTTATTGATGGATCTTATCAATTAAAACTTTGGAATAATTTGAATAGCGCTTCCAAAAATTATTTTACAAGATAAGCAATTTTTTAAGTATATTTTCATGTAAAATAAAGAAAAAAACGTTATTAAGGGCTAATTTTAACATATATAAGAGCTCAAGTAATAATCTAAAATGATACCAAAAATTACGATGCTAGAAGCGAAACTGTTTTTTCCCCCTGTTTTTATTTATTTATTTTATTTATTTTTTTTAAATAAAATTAGGCTTAGCAATGCAAAACCTCCATCCTGTATGCCTTCGATTCCCTTCCGTCCCGCACGAGCGTCTTAAACAAAGGTGTGCCATCGCGAAAATGTTAATGATGTTGCTAAGATTTTAAAATCTAAATCTAATAACATGAGCCAACTTTTACAATCATCTAGTTAAATAGCTAAATAAAGGTTTCTATTGGTACAAAAGTAGGGATTTTCATGCAATCATTATTCACTTTATATCTCGTCTCCTTTCAGAAATCAAAACAAAAAGTAGTTTAGCCAAGAAATGGTAACATTTAGTTTTCAATTCAGTTTCAGAGAACCTTTTAACATTTTACTTACTCTAAACTCAGTTTTCTCATCCGTGGTGTCCAGCATTGTAATGCATGAACACTTCTGTAAATTTGTGCAGAGTTTCAACACTGCCTCCTAAACAAAATCCTAGTTTGTTAATAGCTTTGACACACTAGACCTCAAAAGCACCGTATTTCAAGAATCTGGACCTAATATTCTAAGCTTAAATTTATTAACTCCTTAAGTCTCAGATGGATAGCCTGACTTTTAGCTAACTTCAGTTACACTATGCTAGCTCTTATTTTAAGTCAATGCACCGATTATTCTGTGAAAGTCATCTCCCGTTTGGAAAAAGGAGTACAGGAATGTGTGTTCAAAAAAGCTAGTATAGAAGTTGTAGGGATTTATATTTATTTTGAATAACTAATTTCATTTAATTTTAAGCTTTCCTATAAGCCTTCATTCTTCTAATTGTCAATGTCAGAATATTTAAATTTGGTAACGCATGTGAAGGAATGCAAATTCGACATGGGAAAGAAAAAGTTTAAATACCGGGTTTCAGAAGGAAAGTTAGAGAGAGTTAGGCTGTTGCCATCACCTCTGTAGCGTGAGCTTCTAGCTTCGCAGTTATTGCTGGTTTACTTGGCATAACAGCATGTACTTTGCTGCCACTAGTTTTGATACGGGTTTAGGAAACAGGAATATCTGAGACCTGTAGCTTAATTTCTACTATTTGTGAACATCTTTGAATATTTAGTTTGGCTCTGTGATTTCAGTTACTGCCCAAGGGAGGCTTAGTGTGTTAGTGTCGAGTTGATGCATTGTCAATTCTAAAGAGTTCAATAAAGGGTACTTTCGACCCATCTCCCATGTAGTTCCCACACAAATTTAGTACACGTGCAGATGTCACTTAGAAGATAAGCAAGTGGAACCTACAAAGTGACTGAATCATAATTATTTTAAATAGAACATATTCAAATAGAACTGGCCTACAATCACATCCTATAAACTTTTTAAGCAAAGAAGTGTATTTAATTAAAATAAAATGATGAATTTTGTCAGAAACTCTGTTGTTTTTGTAATGACTAATTTTTTAGATTAAAAATTTTTTTGAAAGAAATGGTTTATTAACTGTTTATCAAGTTAATACATTATTTTTGAATTTTATTTAATTTGTTATAAATAGTTATAGAATATTTATCATAGAATACAATCACTTTCTGATAGAAATTATATAATGACTTAAGTTAGGAATTAAATCTAGGATCAACTTTAGATCTGCAGTTGAACACCCATGCTCTGTGCTGTTTAAGTCACTGTGCTGCTGAACCCAAGCATATGCAGGCATATGCAGTAATGATTGATGTCTGGCGGCCGTTGCCGAAATTTTGACCCATGGTCAATGGGCTAATACCTAAGTACTCTTTTCCGGTAGCCTGGTGTAATTTCCACCAGCGTTAGTTTTTTCGTTTTGGTGATGATGCAATAAACTAGCAAGATAAATCATTTCAAAAATAAAACAACATATTTTCATTAAATGAATAATACATTTCATTAATTTTTTTTTACATAAATTTAAGAAATATAAGCTAAAGATGTAAAAAAGTTCTATACTTGGCGATTTATCTCTTGTACCCAGTTAATAGAAAAAGTACCTATATTTTCTGCATTAATTAGTGGATCTGTATATAAATCAACCTCTGTATTTAGCTTTGGAAAAAGTTACAAAAATTCTTGGCTTGTACATGGAAGAATAAATTAGATCTTTTATTTGTTTATTATTTTTTCCCCAAATAACTAGTACATTAAAATTTATGGATGTTTTTCTTATGCCTTAGGTTTTAGAGTATGTACAACTTTTGAAAAAAATATATGCTGATTTCCCAAATCATGTGGATAAGGTGTTTCAGACTCAAAAAGGGTTAAAAGTAAGAGATTTTTCAACAAATAGTTTAGAAGAAATACTTAGAGTAACTTACAGTTCTACTCGTATTGAATGTGAGGGCCAAGCTAATGAAGCTGAAAAAGTTAAAGTGAGTTTTTTGCTTTATCTCTTTGAAACTGTTATAGCTGTTGTGTATAGATACAACTGGATTTAGACTCAATTTGAATCTCTTTATCCCACTGTTACTCTAATTGTCTGCTTTCTGTCTTCTTTTCAAATATTTATTCTCTCTTGATATTGGAAACAGTGTTATGAAACCTAAGTACTGAAGTTATAACATATATCTAGGGTATATTTTTATCTTGGAAAGATTTAATTTCTATCCATGTTTCAAATTTTAGTGTATTTGGTATCTTAAATTAGTAAATGAAATTGCAACTGAATTGGTCATGAGCAAGTTAAATTATAACTGAAGTAAACTGTTCTATAATACTTTAAATTGGATTGTGAAAGCACAGTTACCTTTTGCATGAATATTGTTTGCTTTTCCATTTGTTGCCATTTCCATTTGCAGAAGTTTTAATATATTCTTTTTTCTTTTGATCTAGTCAGGCATGCTAAAAAGAGCATACATTTTTAGTGCAGTTTCAAATAAACAGATGCCTACATTGTTTATTTATAAAGTGCATGATTTCTCATTTTGTGGAGCACAGTTATAATTTTCTAAATACATTACACATAATGCCATTTTAAAATAAATTAAAATGTATATTCATGAAGATAAAATAATTTAATAATGTAATATACTAGTGTGCTGCAACCTTCCTGGCCGAATATAATCGACCCTATGGTTAATGGAGCATACCCAAATAAATTGATAATAAATAAATAAAAATAATAAAAAATAAAATTTTGCATGGAAAGGCATGAAGCTTTTTTAATTTTGATAAAATAGAGAAACAAAAATACAGCTAGAAACATCAAAGCAAAATTCCGAGTGTTCTTCTAGTGCCATTTATAAAGTTCATTAAATCCTTTCCAAATGTAAACTCTTTATTGTGACAGTAGAATTCCTTTATGTCATAGTGTTCAGTAATGTTTTTTATTGCACGATTTCCATGAACTATTACAGTCTTTTAATGTTCTGAATATGTGCATCAGTATAGCCAGTCCCACAACGTTGAAAATACTTCACTGCTTGCTATTATATACAAGGCAGATCTCAAAGTTTAATCCTCTTTTCAAAACACAGTAGAAAAACAGAGAAATGGCACTTAATTTGTAGCTTCTTTACAAAACCTAACTTGCTTAACCGCTTCCCTTACACATTTTTTTGAAAAAAATTGCAAAAAATCATCACATTTTTTTATTTTATTATGAAATACTAGGAAACGAAACAAAAAAAAAATATAGGTTTTAAGTTGAATTTTTAATTTTTTACAGGTGTAAAAGCATTTAGTTTTTATATTAGTTTACTATCCCCAGTTATCTCGGGAAAATAAAAAAAAATTAAATATTAGTCGTTGTATAAGAGTGCTGTCCCTTGTTTTACGGGATTATTATCTCTTTTACAGGATTATAGAGAACATTGTCTCATAGGATTTGATTTTTTTTCAGTAGCAGGAATAACATCTGGAAAATGCCTTGAGGTTATAATCACTATCGGAAAAATCATCGCTTTCGCTATCTCGCATCATCGTCATTACTTTACTTTTTTCAAGGCAACTATCATTCTTTATACAGTCAAAAGTCGTTAATTCGGACACCCATAATCCGGACCTCAAAGCTAAAAACTTTCTGCGCATGCGCCGCGTTGACACATGCGCATAGGCGTTTACGCGTGCGCGTAAGACCTTTACGACTACGTATATGCGTGTGCGCAAGTGCAGAATACGTTTTCGCATGCGCGTTTTATGTACAACGGATGGTATAAGCTAAAATTATCTGATTATCTATTTCAGTTAATGTTGATGATTGCGTTGCTCCTTAATCTTCCAATTGGATCCGGCTTATTATTTTTTGCGACTGTAAGAGCAATTTTATAAAAGTAAACTTGAACTTTTGATTGTGTCAAATAGAATTTCCGATGCTGGAGCTCCCAAAGGATCTACAAAACGAAAGTATGTTTCGATGTTCATCAAACAAAAAGTGGAATTGCTGCAAAAAATGGATAAATACATGAAGAAGGTGACAGAGAGGTTAGTGAAAACGAAAAAATTTCGATTGACAAGTTAGTCGGTATTCTGGGCATAGCAATTACGGGACTTGAACAGCGGAACTTTGTAACTGAACAAGAAATTATGTCTGTTGATAGAATTAAAGAGAAAGTGTTATCACATAAAATGAAGCAACTTAAACAACTTACATTGAAAGAAATGTTTAATAAAGTAAACAAATATTAAGCTTTTTTTTTTGGTAAATTTTGATACCCTTTAGATCATAATTGTTCTTTATTTCATAAATTACGGTTTCATATTTTTAATTTCAGAATTTCTGCATGCCATCTTACGAGATTTAAACTGATGATCTATAATCTGGAAAAAGCGATAATCCGGAATCGCCGAAGTCCCGACGAGTCCGGATTAATGACTTTTGACTGTACATTACTAATCCACAAGCTGACGTGTACTAGATAATAGGGAAAACACGTGACCAGTCCTGCCAAAAGAACCACGCAACCATCAAAACTTGGCGAATTGCCAATAAAAGCTGAATATTTCCTTTCATTTCCTCCAAGCCGAGTGAAACCGTGATAAAACAAATCGTACTGACAAATTCTGCTTTGCCCGAGTTTTCTCGGGATAATAATTAACTGCAATATATACGAACCCGGGATAACTCAGGATAATCAGGCAAGCGGTTAATGAAGATCAGGGTCACATAAAACCAATGCAAAGTTTTTACAAGGGTGTTTGATAACACGCTTATCTAATATTGGTGATATGTTGCTCTGTCTGGTAACACTGTTAAAAGCAATTTATGGCAAAACATATAAGTACCTTATATTCTGAATTTCATGGGTTTGGGCTGATTTTGCTGTTAGACAAATGAGCATAAGTAACACCAACAAAACCTTATATTCTTTTTGATAGAATTTTTGCTTCTGTTTTCTTCCATATCGTAAAGATTATCTGTTGAATTCTATTCACATCCTTAAACATATTTTTTATTTTTAGAAAATGATGATAGATTTTTCATTTGCATTTTGAAAAGTAACTTATTTAATAATTAATATCTTTTGACATCAAAATTAATAAAAGTAATTTTTCCAGATTTGAATTTCAGAAATATTTAATTTTCAAATTTAAAAAAAAATTCCTTTTTAATGTTTCAAAAATCTTGTAATTTATTTCATGAATTTTCCTCCTGACATTCTTTCAGTCTCCAACAAAATTATACTGTCTGATAAGAAATTACTTTGATTTTCATTTAAAAGAAAAAACTGGAAAAAACCTTTGCTTTCTTTTTTTTATGCATATAAATATTGTCTCCTCTCTCTTTATATGTATATTAACATTATCATATTTTTTTTTTTTTTTTTTAAGCAATATACTCTTATACCAAGAAGTCTCAGATCTTTAAGAGTGTTGACTGAAATACCAATTGTAGTGGTTGTTCTGTATAAAGTCTGCGAGGAAAAACTTTATAAAGAAATTGAGGAGTTTATTCCAATCATTATGGAATTGATTAATCTTGAATCAAATAAAGAAGCGATGTGAGTATTTTTTTTAACTTAAAATATCTTTATTTAATAATTAAAATCTCCCAATTCCTTTTACAATAGAATAGATTAAATCCTTTTCTTTTATATCTATATGGTAGAACTTTTTTTTAGCATTATTTTTGTATGTACATGTGTGACTAGATGAATAAAATTCTTTGTGTTTCTTCTGAGAATCAGTTTTAAAATCAAAATTAAATTATTCTATGATTTTTCCTTATATTGTAAATAAAAATAATATTTTAAAAATATTTTTTATAAAAAGTTCTTAGATGAATAATTCTTGCATCCATACTTTCCATCAATTTAAATAACTTCTGAAGGTCATATGTTCAACAGACATAGGTAGTCTCTCACTTAATCAAAACCATAGGTAGTCTCTCACCTAATCAAAATTTGATTTGTCATTCTAAGTTCGCAATAATAATTGGCATTCTACAAAATCCTGATTTCTGAACTTTTGGATATTTTATGACTGTTGCAGTTTTGTGTTTTGATCTAGGATCTCGTTTATATACTCACACATGTATATAATTCAAAAATCTCATATACATTCAGAAATATCTGGCAAAAATATAAATCATAGAAATTTTGTCCTATTGCCTGATATGTATGCACACCTAGTTTGATGATATTAGGCTCGATCATTCTTTTTCTAGAAAGCTGGGGATAGGTTTATTTTAGCTTGAAACATTATTTACTTTTAAGGAACAATATAATATGAAACTCTTGATTAGGAATAATGTTTTATATTTGCATTCAGTGCTAATTGTTATAAAATTTGTAAAGCAACTTACTGTCTATTTAGAAAAATTAAAAGGAAAAGCTAAATTACATACTGTATAATTACTCACGTTCCTACTATTTTACTGTCTGAAAACCAGGAGGGGGAAGTATGCGGTGTATACTATTTCTGAAGATTTGGCTTTAATCATAATTAAAGGAGAGTAGGTTTGGTTTTCTTTAGTTTTTTTATAACAAAGCACACTAGGGCTATCTGCTAAGAGAAAGATGTCTCTATGGAACACTTTCTAAGAGCAACTTGCTCGTATACACATTACACATGAGGAAAACCATGAAAATGGCCATGCAGCCAGTTCAATAGCCTGGAATTGAACCCACATCGGAACTACCAGTGTTCAGCGACATTATCGCTCGGATACTGATGGACCCCTAGCACATTAAAAAGTATATGCAAAGACACATTATTGTTATTATATTATGTATTTTTTAGAACGTTTCAATTTCAATAATACTCTTTTTACTTTCACAAAATATTTTCTTATTTGTCCATATTTCATTGTTACCATAAATCAGAAGTTTTTAAATCATATTCTGAAAAAAACTAGGAGGAAAAGTGTACAAGGGGAGAGAAACATGAGAGTAAATATGGTATATTTCTATACTACTCCTTTGTTATCAAAATGTTGGTATAAAAAATTTGGGAATATTATATCAGAGCAAATGATAGAATGCCTCTTGATTTCATAGAAGAATCTCCTGATGGGCCATGTTTATCTTAATTAGTATCTGTTAAAAATTGGTAACTTCTGTATGATACTCACTTTTCAAGAATGATATTTTGACTGCATAGTACTTTGCTAGGTATTCTGACTTGAAAGATATTGGTATCAGAGAAACTTCTTTTAGTGTTATTTCTTGTTATGTTGGATTGTAAGATAGTACATGGCTCAAAAGTCCAGTCTGCAAACAGGTTTAAAGAAAAAAAAAAAATTTTTTTTTGCTGTAAATGGTTTTTAATTTTTCTATCGTATTGTGTGCAGTATTATGGTTAGTAAACAGATCTAACATTTTCCATTCACATTATTTGAAGGTATACTTAAAATGCATATTTATAGCCTGGCTTTCATTATGTAGTTTAATATCAGAAAAATTTTGATTTTGATGACTGTTATTTGCTTTTGTGGAGGAAAAAGACAAAGCCTGTTAATTTTTTTCATAAGCTTTTTCTTTTCTCCTTTGTATCTCTATATATTAAGTTTTCCTGAGATCATGCTGCTTAATTTTTTATTGCAAATGTTGCATTTCTTAAAATCTGTTGCTAATGAAATTATAAATATTTCTCTATTTTGCTTTTTACTGTCATATTGTTATTTATGTACCATTAAATTTTATCTCTTTTTATTTATTTATTTTAAACTCTCTTTTTTTTTAAAGCAGTCATTTCTTAAGCTTTACCAACATTTGAAGTTTGCACATTACAAATTAGGTGATTAAGTATGCTAGTTTAATGCCTAAGCACAACAGCTTCTTTAGTGAGGAAGTACTTCCCTCCCGTCCTGTCTTGAAAAAACTGCCTTTGCTTGAATAGTAGTTTTAACAGTTTTTTTAAAGGATTTTTTTTGCCAGAATTAATTATTATAGTCTTAATTGCTTTACATTATTTATGTATGCTTTTCATGGGAAATTAATTATAATTAAAGAGAACTGCTGTTGGGGGTGGAAGGACACTCACAGATGCTTTATTACAAAAAAATGTGTGACTGTGCATAAGATATGTCAGACTATTATCATGATTGCAGCCTTGGGACAGGACATCAACCAGGTCATATAAGACTTTCTCTAGCTCAGCTGTCTCTTTCCCATTTCACTACTTATTTTTTTTTTTTTTTTTTTTACGTATTTTTTACTTATGTACTTTATATTGCACTATTTATTTATTGTATTACTTTTATGCTTTATGTACTCTACTATATTTACACACATTGCAATACCATTCTTGCACCCTCTGTTCCCAAATCTGTAGCCATTGTACAGCCACCTAGCCCTTGTAAGGCCCTGTTTCTCACCCAACTCCTTTAATTCTTCGATAAGCACTGGATAGTGGAGGACGAGAGGCATACACCTGCTTACCTCTGGTAGACGTCAGGTGTCCAGTTTTTCAGTCACCTGTTACCTGTTGGTGGTGGAAGAATGTTTTAAAAAGTATTGTAATAAGTTCTGAAGTACATACAAATGTGAACAAAAATCAGTAATTAAGCTGATTATTATTTAATACAGATGTTGTATTGTTCAAATTTTACTACCCTGAAAATATATGCCAATATACATAGATGATTATTTTATAATTATATGGTAAAGTATTGTAATTAGTTTATTTTTTAATCCAAACATCACTATATGTGTTTTACTAATCTGAATTCTGTATCTTTTCCTACAGGAAAGAACCTAGTTTCAACAAGGATATTCACTTTGATTTTATTGCAGTCCAAGTTAAAGCATTAATGTTCCTGTCATATCTTATACGAACATATGAGGTAACATGCTATTTACATTTTTATGCCATTTGCAAATCAAAAATGAAAATTAATTTGTTGATTTTATTAATTGTTATCTCAAATACAGGAAACGTCTGCTCTTTAGATAATGAATTAAATTGGAAGGAATACTTTGAGTCTGTATATGAGAGTTATTTAACTTGGGGTAAAGGGATCTCTTAGGATGTGTGGTTGGTCATTTAGTACAGTTTGTAAGGTGTAAGAGAAAATAATTTTGATTAAATTGTAAATGTAGAAATAAAAAATTAAAAAATAAAATCTGAAAGATTTCAAATTTTAAAGTCCAAAGGGGCATTAAAGTCATTTTGTGTGTTACCTTTATTTATTAAATATCATGTTCTTCGCACTTAAACCGTAAAATTCATTTAAAGAGCAATATTGCAAAATAATTTTAAATTCAGCATATCTTTAGAATTTCCGATACACAGTCTCACGTGCTGGAGCTAAAAATGTTTTTTCTGTACAACGTAGCCTTTGCTCGCTTTGAAATCCTTGAGTTTGTTAATAAAAAATTCATTAAAGTTTTACAAAATATGAAATCGGTAATAAAACAAATCCCAAATTTCAAATTTGGGCGTCCAGATGCCCATATTCGCAGCAGGATTACATCATTCAAAAATGGCTTTAGGTAACATTGTTCTATCACAATGTGAGAAACATACATACATTTATGCAAATTTTTCATTATTTAATTTCTTCAAATATAATACAGGGCGATAATATTTGGTGGCCACAGTTTGAAAAGTGAAATGTACATTCAAAGTGATTCGATGCAAAATCGTAAAACGACAAAAATAGTCCCTCAGGGACAAAGCCACTTTAAACTAATAAAGAATTTTTTAGTTTGACTTATCAGTTTCCCTTTTTTTATATTTATTATGTATTCCTAAACTAAATTCAAAATATTTTATACATTTTGTAGAACTTTTTTTATAAACTTCATCTTAACACAAAGCAGATTTTGTTCTTGTACGTAAAAAAAAAAAAAAAAAAAAAAAAAAAAAAAAAAAAAACTCCAGGTGAACTTTTCATATTTGTGACAGTGGAAATGGATCAGATGGAATTAGATACAAGAGCATAGCTGTCATAAAATTCATGCTTTATTAGAACATATTTTACATTTAAATATTATGCTTATTAATTCTAAATAAAAATAAACTTAGCATTGAATTATTTTATATTCAGATCAATCATTATTATTTTATATTTTTATCAACAGATGATTAACAATTTTTTGTTAATATTTGATGATTTAACGACACATACACACACACAAATGTAACTCAAAAAGTAAAAAAAATGGGAATGAAAAAGAATAAAATTCCATATTAAAAATTTTGAAGGTCCAGCCTAATTTCTTTGGGTTACATTAATGCAAATTAAAGAAAAATTACAAAATTGGTATCAAATATTGTTCACTTCAAGGAGTAAAAACATATAAAATACATAAAATTTGTACATAACAAAACCAAAAGTAATAAAAGTTACAATCTCTTTTGTTTAATGCTTTAAACAGAACTTGTCAAGGAAAAACTGTTTTGAAGCCTTAAACCAAGTTGTTATGAATGATTGATGCATTTTTGATAATATCTTGATAACCTTATTTGATTGTGATTTTAAATGCATTTGTTTGGAAGGCTTTGAAAAGCTTATATATCTTGTATAGGAAGCTATAGTGGGAGGTTGAACTCTTTTATAGGTTTATAAAAATTAAAGAGAGAGAGTTGAGAGTTTACCATTATCCTTAAATAACTGAACTTACGATCAAAATATAAATACTCTTTTGATGTGGGGTGCATTTTGCATGGATGATTGTACCATAAATATTCACCCTGATAAAGTTAGTTATCTTATACACCAAATTTAGGTTTTTCAACCCCTTTTCATAAAATATATCACATTTCATGACACAAGTCCATCATAATTAACGTAACTCTTTCTTATGTTAGTTTCTTACGTTCGCAGTATATAATGCCCAGATTTCTTTTTTGACTACATAATGTTCATAAAAGAAAATATTCTTGTAGTGCAATACTTTCTGGAAGATAAAGAATAAACTTGGTAGCATTAAAAAGAGGCTTGGAAATCCTAACATTTTCCACTCATTTTGGGGAAAAAAATTTGTATCCATTCTTCCAGTTCAGGAATGTTCTGTTTATTCCATATGACAAACTTCCTCATAGTTTAAGCTTTATTAGAGTTCACTGATCAAACACATATAATTCTTTTTCTGTGATGAGTACCTTGGTTAGGTTGTGATGCATTTCTTTCCATTCAATTACCTTCTTTAGTAGAATCTCTTTTGACATTTCAACTGTTTCATTAATCGTGTTGCCACTTCTTATATTTTAAATTAGTTTGAAAGAAATTTTCTGCTGTCTTTAAAACATATTATTTTTTTTAGATTTTGTTCAGTTGTTAAAACATTGCCATTTTCAATTAAGAAAATATTGTTTGAAACAATCAAATCATAACCACAGTGTCATTCAATTTTACTTAAAAGTTTCTTACAACATAGCAGGGCAGTTTTAATGAGAAAGAAACCTGCCAGACGTGCTTAAGATTTTTTTATACATAGTTTCAGGTTGTGAGCAGAAATTTACAACTGACTTGTAACAAGAATTTTTATAGTTTTTATTAAAATGGAGCAAATTCGAGATTAAAAATTTGGGCTTTGAGGGGCACATTATCAGGTTGAGGATTGCTGATGATCAAAATTTGGTGGCTCTAGGTGCCACTGTTTTTCCATCATGTGAGGAACACACATGCATACCCATTCTTCATTATTTCATAATACAAAATTTGCATTTTTATAGGGCAGTTGGGAAATGCCATTAAAATGGTAATGTCCTTCCTGCTCAGTAACGTATACATGATTAGCCGATATTAGGAAACTGATTTTTAAATTATAAATTACTTTCCAATATGCTTGGATTAATTAAATGTGTATTGCAAAGCTTAGTTTGTTTTCTAAATTAATATATATATAAGCCAAAGTAACAGTGCAAAGGACCTAGCTTTATTTAGCTTTTTAACTTAATAATTTTTAGTGTATATTGCTTGCTTTTATTCCTGTCTGTATGTAAATGTTATTCTATCTGTTTTCCTGTTTTTCATTTCATACTTTTGTTTTAGAATGTTTTGATTAAAAATTAAGCAAATTAGCATGAGGTTTTTTTTTTTTTTTTTTTTTTTTTTTTTTTTTTTAATATCAATTCATTATTTTGATTTAGGAGTCTGTGAGTAACAATTCATCTAATTTTTAGTGAAAGGTGTGTAGGCCTTTAAAAGATTCCACAAAACAGCTTTGTTAAAGGAGAACTTCTTCAGCTCTTCGACATATTTTACAAAACTTAGGGAAAGTAATTTGTTATATTGTTAGCCACTTTCTTGATGATTGGTAAATTTTTGATAGATTGTTGAAGATTAATAACAGTTATTAAATTTTTTTTCCTACAGAATGATATGTGTTCTATTCAACAAGATTTCATATTTGAGTTAAAATAACATCCATGTGATTATTGAAAGTACTAAGGCAACAAAATGCATAATAATCTAATTTACAGGACTAGTTTTTAAGTGTTAATATAGAACATTCTTCTTCTGCAGAATGGAAATGATGGTGAAAGAAAGTCTATGTGTCTGATGATAAGAAGAGAGAAAGAAATCAAGTTATTGCACTGATGAAAAATGAAAATAACTATGAAATTTTTTCTACAGCTTAAAAGTGGATTGGATTAGATCTAACTGAACTGAAAGATTTTTAGAATGTGGTTTTTTTGAATATTTGGCCTGCAGAAAAAAATGAAAATGTATTTTTCAGACAGTGTCGGGCAACAGAGAATTTATGTATCTCTTTTTCCTTAACATATGCCTCATGTTTCTTAACATGACTTATTAGGGTAGTTTTAACAAATGTAAATTAAACCCGAAGCAAAGAATCTTTATTATCCCAGGATTATCTGGAATGGGTTTTTAAGTATGAACTGCAAATTTTATTATGAAAGAAAAAAAGGGGGGAGGGGGGACCAGAAGTTGAATTTTGTAAAATGCTTCCATTTGTGTAGCTAATCATTGGAAAAAGAGATGCCATAGAATTCCTTTGAATCTCCTAAAAAAGAAGTGGTTTTTAGGTGTTGGATAGATTTTTTAACCACTTGGTCAATAATTTTAAGTGAAGCAAACCTCTGTTAGCAACTGCTTTAATTAATTAGTTCTTTCAAGAGCTGACGTGAGATTAATTGAAGTACTCAGAAAAGTTTGCTCCTCCAATTCCTAGAAGTCTCCGGGCCAAATATAAAAAATTAAAAAGAGGATTAGTGCATTTTTAAATATAGCTATTAAGCACTTAAGAGTTTTATTTAGCTTGTTTTTAAAATTCTTAATGTTTTGGATAGCTGTCTAAGTCAATAAAGCACCTGTTTAGTGTGGTAAAAGGCTTCGAAATTGTTAGAAAATTTTTTTTTTTTTTTTTTTTTTTTTTTTTTTTTTTTTTTTGTTTTTTTTTTTTTTTTTTTTTTTTTTTGTTTTTTTTTTTTTTTTTTTTTTTTTTTTTTTTTGTTTTTTTTGTTTTTTTTTTTTTTTTTTTTTTTTTTTTTTTTTTTTGTTTTTTTTTTTTTTTTTTTTTTTTTTTTTTTTTTTTTTTTTTTTTTTTTTTTTTTTTTTTTTTTATTTTTTTTTTTTTTTTTTTTTTTTTTTTTTTTGGATATTCATTATTTTGATTTAGGAGTCTGTGAGTAACAATTCATCTAATTTAGTGAAAGGTGTAGTAGGCCTTTTAAAAGATTCCCCACAAGAAGCAGCTTTGTTAAGAGGAGAACTTCTTCAAGCTCTTCGACATATTTTAGGTTCAAAACTTAGGGAAAGTAAGTTAATTGTTATATATTTGTTAGCACTTTCTTGATGAATTGGTAAATTTTGATAGATTGTTGAAGATGTTAATAACATTTATTAACATTTTTTTCCTACAGAATGATGAATATGTGTTCATATTCAACAAGATTTCATATTTGAGTTAAAATAACATGCCAAAATGTGATTATTGAAAGTACTAAGGCAACATAAATCGGCATAATAATCATAAATTTACAGGACTAGTTTTTAAGGGTTAAATATAGAACATTCTTCTTCAGCTGCAGAAATGGAAATGATGGTGAAAGACAAGTCTATGTGTCTGATGATAAGAATGAGAGAAAGGAATCAAGTTATTGGCACTGATGAAAAATGAAAATAACTATGAAATAATTTCCTTACAGCTGAGGATAAAAGTGGATTGGAATTAGGATCATTAACTGGAACTGAAAGATTTTTATGAATGTGGTTTTTTGAATAATTTTGGCTGCAGAAAAAAATGAAAAATGTAATTTTTCAGATTAACAGTGTCGGGCAACAGAGAATTTATGTATTTCTTTTTCCTTAACATATGCCTCATGTTTCTTAACATGAACTTATTAGGATCTTGTAGTTTTAACAAATGTAAATTAAACAACAGAAGCAAAGAATCTTGTATTATCCCAGGAGTTTATATCTGGAATGGGGTTTTTAAGTATGGAACTGCAAATTTTATTGATGAAAGAAAAAAAGGGGGGGAGGGGGGACTCAGAAGTTGAATTTTTGTAAAATGCTTCCATTTGTGTAGCTAATCATTGGAAAAAGAGATGACCATAGAATTCTTTGAATCTCCTAAAACAAGAGAGTGGTTTTTAGTGTGTTGGTATGAGAATTTTTTAACCACTTGGTCAATAATTTTAAGTGAAGCAAACCTCTGTCAATAGCAACTGCTTTTAATTAATTTAGTTCTTGATCAAGAGCTGACGTGGAGGATTAGACTTGAAGTACTCAGAAAAGTTTGCTCCTCCAATTCTAGAAGTCTCCCGGGTATATAACCCAGTTAATATATTGTAAAATTCTAGCAAGGTGCTGTCGTTAAAAAGAGTTTAATTTTTGTTTTATTATTTGGATTTACTGTCACTAGCTGTAGGGAATAAAGCACCTAAGAATGTGTAGAGCGAAATTAGTTAAAAAAGTTGTTGGATACTTTTAGTCACAAACGATGGAATAAGCATTCAAAATGAAAGAATTTTGAAACGGGTGAATTAGTTTAAGGAAAGTTAGTTAAGGTCTTTCGTTCAAGGTTACTTCCCTTTTTGTTTGGCAAGAACAAATACTCAAGTATTGCTTATTTTTGTAGGGTATTCCCCCTCATATCCTAAATTGGGATCATCAGTAGATTCCACTGTAAGTTTGGCTATGATCTAAATACCATTTATTGCACTCGCTTTGGAATTGAATATAGTGTGCAGTTTTCTTTTTCATTTCTGGTATACTATCTAACTAATGCTTGCAATATATATTAAAATCATCTAATAGAATAGTAAGATTAGATCAGTTGCATAGTTTTCTACTTCATTATTCTGTGAAATAGAAAAAATTCTCAGAGATTTATGAAGAAAACAGCAAACTGAAACACACCTTAATGTATGCATGTCAAAGGTAAAAAGCATGCTTACAATAGGAAGATAGTTTTGACAAAGAAAAGGCTTTTACTTAGAAACTATTGTTATTTTTAGTGCTTATCAAAGCTTCTTCCTGTGAAAACACATGACAAGTTGTGATGGTTGTTTCTAGAGTTTTATCTGCAGATTTCTAAAAAATTGGCAAATGTAAAAACAAAGCTTCACAATTAAAGATCTGTTAAAGTATGTGACTGGCATAAATTACTGCTTTTTTCAAAACCATAAGATCTGCATTTGAGATGCAACAATTCAGTGAATAATTTGGATTGCCACTAATATGGGTGTTACTATTTATTTTCAGACAGCCATATTTAATTTCATTTCTACAAAGATTCAATTTTAAATCATTATGTGTTTAATTTTTTTTTTTTTAGAAGTGATTCGCGGAAAATAATACCTCTTTCGTGTTACAGAATCCTTAATGCATATAAATATGAATTGTCATTCTGTATTCTGTTGCTTAACTTGTAGAGAAATGAATTAGAAAGCACTCATTATTGTATCATCATGTACAGATTAAATGAAGGAAGACATCACAATACAGGTGACAGGTGACAGCAGGACCGGACACCTGAATGGCTTTCATAGACTACTTGGGTACTGCCCATACCCTGCAACTATCTAGAGAACACCCCAAAGGGGCCACACGGAAGTCTCGTGCCAGCGCCCAGACCCAACGCCCGTTTAATCCCAACTGCAGTTCTGCCCTCCAAACACGGGAGATATGAATGCTCTAGGTTACACTTCCATCCAGCTGCCCAGGCCTCAGTATTTATTTGATTCCAAAAAGAAAAGTTAAGGGCCAAACAAGGGCATTGTAGCGATTACATTAACACTTTCCTTGCTGTACTCATACATAATATACATGGCTTTGCATGCTTACACTCAAAAACTTGGTTACGTTAACATTTAAGAACATTTAAGAACACTTAATTATTAACATTAACATTTTAAGAACATACATAAAGATAAGATATTAAAAGATGAGAAAAAGTAACTCTAAAGGTTGTCACTTTCTAGATCTAGTATACAGTACAAAGTCTTTAATCCGGACTCGTCGGGACTTCAGCGATTTCGGATTAGGGGTTTTTCGATCATCAATTTAAATCTGATAAGAGGGCATGCAGAAATTACAAAATTAAAAATATGAAACCATAATTTATGAAATAAAGAGCAATTATGATCTAAAGGGTATCAATATTTAAAAAAAAAAAAAAAAAAAAAGCTTAATATTTATTTGTTTACATTATTAAACATTTCTTTTAATGTAAGTTGTTTAAGTTGCTTTGTTTTTCATGCTAATACTTTTTCTTTAATTGTAAACAGACATAATTTCTTGTTCAGTTCCACTGTTAAAGTCCTGTAATTGCTATGTCGAGGATATAGAATACCGACTAACTTGTCAATCGAAATTATTTCGTTTTCAATAACCTCTCTGTCACTTTCTTCACTATTGGAAGCGGTACATCGAAACATGCTTTCGCTTTGTAGGTCCTTTGGCAACTCCAGAATCGGAAACTCTTTTTGACATAATCAAAAGTTCAAGCTTACTTTTTATAAAATTGCTCTAACAGTCTGCAAAAAATAATAAGCCGGATACAATTAGAAGATTAAGGAAAAACGCAATCTGCAACATTAACTGAAATAGATAATTAGATAAATTTAGCCTGGCCTATACCATCCGTTATACATTAAACGCGCATGCATAAACGTATTATGCGCATGCGTCGATGCATAATGTGTTGACGCATGCACAGAAAGTTTGTAGCTTTGAGGTCTGGATTATAGATCATTCCGGATTATGGACGTCCGGATTAAAGACTTTGTACTGTACTTAACTCAGGTATTGTTTGACGGTTTGCCTTTACACAGTGCAACTATTTGCAATGGTGTACAGACTAAGTACAGAAACAAATGGTGTACAGACTGATACAGAAACATGGTGTACAGACTAAGTACAGAAACAAATGCTAATTTCAAAGTACTATAATACGCATTATTGGTATTATAGTACTTTGAATGGTGTACAGACTAAGTACAGAAACAAATGCTAATTTCAAAGTACTATAATACACATTATTGCGTTGCATATTGCCCACTTGTGCGCTGGTACTATTGGCATCACAATATGCAATTATACACATGAGAATACTCACTTAGAAGGATAACTAAATACAGCAATATTTCACAATACAGTGAAGCATTGAACTAATGTGAAAAGTGTACTTTTGTAAATATATTGAAATTAGATTATGATAAAATTCAGTGCTTTTTATTATGGCCCCCAAAAGCACCAAAATTTTCCATAAATCGGCAACACTATTTTCAAATGACCTCTAGTTCTAATGCTGATCATTTATAGTTTGTGATGAGAACTGTGAATAAGTCACATGTTTTCATGTTCCACATCCTTTTGTTTTTCATATAAAGTTCCTAGTTCTTGTTTGAAATATCATTGCTAATTTTTTTTTTTTTGTCTTATTTTGCCATTTTTTTAGTACGATGAGTTACACAATTTTGCAACTACCTAATGAGGAAGAGGCCGCCATAAGATTCTTTCGGGACAAAGAAATAATTCATAGCAATACCCTTTGTTCTCCAAGTCATCCAATGAAGTTAACTTTTGACTGAAACGGAGCTCCTATATGGCTTTGTTACGTATATTCTTGCTGTGGGGGGGAAAAAAAAAAAAAAAAGAGAGAGAGATTGAGGACCAAACATTGGTTTGAAGGCTCACGTCTTTCTGTCCTCAGTGCCATTTATTTTATCTATCTGTGGTGTCAGGAATTGACATCGATTTAATTTCGCCAACTTCAGTTAGAAATCAGCCATAGTATGTATGACACTAGATCTGAATAACTATTTTAAAGGCTTTTCACAAAAAGAAAAAACAACTTTTCATGACATGTTCTTCTGGAACAGTGGGTATTTTGGGGTTTGTGCCAGGAAAGAAAAGTGTTTTCTGGTCACCGTTTCTGATCATGGTGCTACCGCATTGATAACTGCCATTCAGGGAAACCTCACATATGGCAGCATTATATTTTCATACTTCTGGAAAGGAATTAAGAAATGCTGGATATGAACGTTTCACTGTGAATCACAGTTATAATTTTGTAAACCTCCAAAACTGGATGCGATACCCAAACGGTGGGGCAGCGCTAAATGAAGAAATTAATGTCAGCAAGGCACTGCGTGCCACCATTTAGAGCCATATATGATAGAATTTATGTTGCATCCGCTATATTCAAAAACTGAAATTTTTCTGCGATATTGAATGATATTTGTAATTTTGTGCCACCCTGTTTAGATTGAATGTTGTTTTGTTTTATTACTTTTTATTTGTATGTAGAATATTGCAGATTAAAAATTAAAAAGAAAAGGTCACTTTCTTTAAGAATTAAGAAATAAAAAAAATTTACTTTTCTATGGAGATAATTTTTTTACTCTTTACTCTTTACTTTTTTTGAACTCTATTACTATTTCATAATTTTATACTTGGCAGCGATTGGAGGGGGGAAAGGTGCATCTTTAACTGACACCGCTCTAACAGAATAGTACCAAAACTACATATTGATTAAAGCACTTGATGATGCAACCTGAAAAGTTGAAAGTGAAGGAAAAGCATACATTTCAAGAATTGGTTAAGCAGCTTCAAAGTACTGTTTGTAACAGTGCAGCAATTTACTTACTAGCGGGAGAGGAACTGACATTGACTAAATGATCAGAGAAGCAACTCAGCTTTCGAAAATACAACTACTGACCTAGTTTTATGAGAAAGGTGTATTCCGTACATCTAATCTGGCAATCATATAAGTGTATAGATAATCATACAAAATTGTGGAAATGAATAAAAATCTATTTTTACAGAGAAAAAGCAAAACTAGCACAGTTCTGCCAGAATACTGCATATTTGGGGGGTTATGATGAGAAACTGGTGATTTCTTTCTCGCTCACAACTAAGACGACCATGTTCATGTCAAAATTCGTCAACCATGTGCAAAGATTAATGATTTATTCTTACTGTTGGTGAGCACACAAATCAGAGGAAAGCTAAAAGGCAGGTTTTAATGCAATATACTGTCAGCTGTAAATTTAATTTTGTTGATACAACACCAGCTCATATGCATAATGTTGAAAGACTGGGGCCTTCCACTAAGTAGTGGCATAAAAATCAATGTTGCATGGTTCACCATCATCATGAGTCTTATTTTGTGGAGTTCATGTAAAATTTCTTGGAAAGAGAAAATGCATCTGATGCAATAATTAAAAGAAATCATGGCAGCTGCAAAATATATGTGGGAGTAAGCATAAATTTATCAATCAATCCTGGTTCCAAATTGGCATTTAAAAAGGCAGGGGCCGTAATTGGAAGAAAGTGCCAAAACTTCTAAAATAGTTTCAAATTAACATAGGCTTTACAATAATTATTTCTTTTTGATATCATTTTTCTTATTTACTGTCTTAATTGTTATCTTTTAGTAGGTAAGATGTAATTGGTTCTGTTAACTGAAGTTTACATTAATATGTAGCACCTCAAATTTTTCTAGTTATAGTACAATTTACTAATTATGTGTATTGCTCAGAAACACTTTTCTTAATATAATTTGAATTTGCTGTTATGATAGACTGCTTTGTTTGTTAGTTTTATATTTTTCCTATCAGATTTTGTATTTTTTTCATTTACTTCATGTTTATTTTAGATTTTATTCCATATGTGGATCAGTTCATGGATGATGACTTAGTGATTGGTACAGGATGGACAGCTTCTGTGTCCCTGAGGTTAATGAAATAAATTTGACAATCTTTTAACTCATTTCCAGAAATTCTTTAATGTTTATTAGCTTTTATTTACAACTGCAGTCATTAATTATTCCTAATTTTCACTGTTCATGAAAGATGTAGTATTATTTTGTAGTAAACTATAATTCAAAGTTAGTGATAGGAATTAATTTTCATTATTCATTTCTTAACTGCAATATATTTTTATTGCGAAATTTGAATCTTTTTAAATATTTAGTTTGAATTCAGTTTTTCTTAATTAATTAAAATGAAATTTACATATTTAACTTAAAAAGTGGCAGACAACTCAATATATAGAATAAACAAATCAGGAACATGTTGCTTATTTATAGGAGTAAAGATTTAAACAATATAAAAATGCTATCATTCAATTTAGAATTCATTGAGAAGGTATACATTAGGCAGATGATGTCGTATGTAGTCTAAGTAATGATATCATAACTGGATGAGGCCTAAGATTCTGATGTCACAGTCTCGTGCATATTTCAGAATGGCTTAAATAAGTTACATAAATACTAAACAAAATACTGGAAGGTACTGACAGTTCGTTTTAATACACTCTATAACAAAAAAAAAAAAAAAAAAAAAAAATCAATGCACCAAGAAGGAATTATTCCATTGCTTTGCAATTTCGTATGCATAAATATTTTGACCAAATATGCAAATTATTGAAATTTGGTGTCCAGTGAATGAATAGTGTGATCTCCAGTGCATCCAGCAGATGTATATAAGGAGCTGTTCTTGAATTGTTGTTAAACATTTCTGTTGCATTGCAATTTAGGATACCTTTCAATGACTGAAAAAATGCCTTGCCGCAGAATTCGACCTCATTATAAGCAATGGTCAGAGTAAGAGGCAGTTTGGGCAAATCGGAGAAATGATCATCATATGAGTCAAAGTGATGCAGCAATTAGAAGAGGCTGGCAAGTATGGGTGGACATTGGCAGATTTCGGCGTCATGGTGGTAGCAGTCAACCTAGGGCCATGTCAGATCGGGAGGACAGAGTGATTGTCAGATCAGCTGTCACAGTGCCTGATTCATCGCTAACAACCATCAGACGTGCGACCCGCACACGAATGATTACCATGACCATTCACAGACGGCTGATAGAGCGAAATCTACGCTCGTACAGATGGTTACGTTATCTGTCATTCATGCCTGCACACTGTCAAGCCAAATTACAGTGGTGCTTGGCTCAATCAGGTTGGAACGATGCTAAAATATGTTTGTCAACTGTGAAAAATTGCTTCAGGAGCCACATGGATATGGCCTGTAGGCTACCAGTTTGAGACCACTGTGTCAAAGTATAGGAATAATGTTGAAGTGTTCCATTGAAAATCAATTAAGACGTGCTCACTCTCAAGATAAGTATTCATCATAGTGCTTATAAAATTTATGCTATATTTTAACAAAGGTCTGTTTCTTATAACACATTTTGAAAATGATTTGAGAAATTTGAGCTGAGAAATTTCAGTCTCCTAATGATGCCTGCTGTAGATGACTATCCACTATAAACAAAGACCTATTAAAAGAAGCTATCTCTGAAAATCCACATATAGAGTTGAGGAACTAACAGGCAAACTAAATATTCTACAAAATACAGTATAGATCATTTGAAGAAGATTGGATGTATAACATTAAAAGAAGCTATCTCTGAAAATCTGCATTATAGAGTTAAGGAATTAACAGGTAGACTAAGTACTCTGCAAAGTACAGTATAGATCATTTGAAGAAGATTGGATGTATAACAATCTATGGACACCCCTTATTTTAACAGAGCAGGATATGTTTGCTGGAGTTATTTACATGAAATTCTTTTCTGAAAAAATAAAGAAAGAAAGAAACTCTCTTTTGACATAGCTCATTACTGCACATGAGAAGTAGATGCTGTGCAATAATGTTAGAAGAAAAGCATCATGATATAAACCAAAAGAATATCATTTAGTAACACTGAGAGGGTGTCTGCATTGTAAAAAAGTAGTGCTTAGTGTATGGAGGGACTGTAATGGAATTGTATACTATGAATTGTTGCCACCAATCTGGCAATAAATCTGGAAAAATACTCTTCCCAAATGTCAGTTTTAAAAGCAGAAATTGAAGCAAAATGCCCATAACCAACCATTTGTCAAGATGTTATCTTCCGTCATGACAATTCCTGCCCTCCTCTTTCATAAATGTCAGGCAAAGATTTATTGATTGTGATTGAAATATTTTGTCCTCCTCAATTTTATTAGAACTGCTGTCTCAGATTTTCAGGTCACTTCAAATTTCTCTGAATGGTCTGGAGTTCACTTCTTTAGAGACTATACACATTGATAAATTCTTTATGAATCACTAGATTTAAACTGAAATACTTATCAGCACATTGATAAATTCTTTATGAATCACTAGATTTAAACTGAAATACTTATCAGCACATTGATTAATTCTTTATGAATAAACTTAATGACTTTTTTAAAAATAAAATTGTCCATCTACCTGAGAGATGGCAAAAAATTTTAGAATGAAACAGGGCTTATGTGATTTAAAGAAAGTTTCTTATGTTTTTCTACTGTTTCATTTGTATCTATCATTAAAAAATAAGTAAAATCACAGAACATTTTTGATACTGCAGTATAATAGAAAATATATAAATTTTTTATGTGTTCATGATTGTTTTTATTATTGAAATATTTGTGTTTGTATTTCATTTCCAGGCCTTTAGCTTTCACCATTCTGGCTGAATTTGTGTTTCACATTAGAGAACAAATGCCTGCAAAGACTTTAACTATGGCAGTGTATACCTTTTCTGCAAAAATTGAGGATGAGTCTCTTGAGCCAATGGTTCATGTTTTATCATGTAAGCTGTTGCAAAACCTTGTTGAATGCATTCTTAAGATATCTGATGAGAATTTTAACAGAGTAAGTATATGTTAATCTTTTATAATATAATGTCTACTGGGAAATTCTGTCTGCTTGGGAAGGGAAAGAAAATAATATAGAGTGTCGCAAACTCAACATAATGTGGACTGAGAGACTGTCGAGTTTTACCGAATAAGGGGTGGGTTTTTCAGAACTCTAAATATTTAACTCTAAATTACTCTAGAAATTTGGAGCACAATATTGGACACGGAAAAGTACAGCATGCAATTAAATTAATGGTGATTTTTTTTGTCAAGTTCTAGCACAATAGGAGTCATAAAAAGAACAATACCCTAACATAATTCAGTAAAAAAACTTACATACAAAAATGAAGAAAAATTATTAGTAGTTTTTGGTAGGAAAATATTAGTAAATTGTCGTACACTAATTTGTCATTGTGCAGCTTCATCCAGTAGGCGACAGAGGAACAAAATGTGCCGAGATATATTAAAAAAAGTTCCTAAAAAGTTGCTGAGTTATACAGAATGTTGAGATATTGGGAGTCGAGTTTATGGGTTTGTACTGTACAGGGTGTGTATAATTAAAGAACCCTATTTCAAAGCTGTCTGTCTAGAAGCGAAACCACTGATCAGAAAATTGTTATTTTGTGGCAGACTTAATGAAGGGATGAAAATGTCTTTTAGCGGGAAAAAAAAAATAATTACAAATAACATCATCAGAGGCATCATAATACTAAATTATACATTTAACCACATCTTTACGTTAGTTTTACAATTTTACAAATTTTGTCACAAAAAAAAAAAAAAATGTTACACATGAGGGCAATCATTTTCAGCTACCATCTGAAAATGCAAGTTGGTATGTTCCACAGTTGACCAAAGTGTGTGCTGGGAAATGTTCAGCACGTGGTGTGAAATGCTGGCTTTAAGATCAGGTAAAATCTTGGATTGTCACCATATATTTCAAATTTATCGTCACCATATATTTCAAATCAAGATCAAGTCTTTAAGATCAGGTCTTGGATTGTTACAACTTACCAGATGTTTCAAATCTCCCAAAGCCAAAAATCGTATGGATTGATGTCTGAGGATGAGGGAAGTGACACATTACGAAAGTGCCGGCTGTTTTGGTAAAACAGTTTTACTAATAAAGCGTGATCTTGTAAACTTATTGTCATTGTGAAGAAGCACATTGAAAATAAAGTCTCTGCAGATGTTTCTATGTTTTATAACAGCTACTATATAACATTGACAAAGATTTACATTTTTACTATAGGTTTTCAAAGCAAAATGCTCTCTCATGACACTATTTTCAACTTTTTATTTTTTTTTTTCTTTTCTGAAAGACATTCTCATTTCTTCATTAAATCCGCCACAAAATTTCATAGTTCAGCACGTTCACGATCACTGGTGTCATTTGTAGGCAGCTTTAAAATAGGGTACTTTAATTATAGACATCCTCTGTTTTTCATATCTTTACTAATATTTATGGCACAACATAATTTCCATCTTTATTTATGACCTCTTGGCAGCTTGATAATAGTTTATAGAATGATTTTTGAAAAATGTCTTGTCTTTAGAGACGAAGAACTAAAGTAGTGTTTGGCTGACATCTGCTTCAGTTTTAAAATTTTGCAAGAAGAGAAACTAGTGTTAATCAGAGGGTGCTAGGTCTGGGGAGTGTGATGGATGCAGATGAATTTCCCAGCCTAGCTTTGTGATTTCCTGATGAGTCACCAATGGAGCATGTGGCCTGATATTATCATGATGCAGTATGATGTGCATCCTATTTGAACATCAGTGGCCTCTTTTCTTGAATGCTATGTTTAAATCATTTATTTGCTGAATCGCTTTCAATTAAGCTTTCTGGCTTTGAAAGATCATAATGCATTGGTCCTTGGACATTCCACTATATATACAGCATTCTCTTATTCAGGCTGAAACTTGGTTTATAGGTCGAGGAAGCAATTTATCCATGCTCACAGTATGCTCTTTTCCTAACAGTGTTTTTGTAGTAATCTGCTTTTCATCTTCGGTTATCATTTGGTCCTAAAAGGGTTTGTTTTTGTCCCAAGCAAGCAAAGATGTACATATGACAACTCGATCATACAAATTTTTCTCCCATAATTCAAGGTATCCGTGTGGAATATTTAAAGACCAATTATAATTTCTGAATATGGTCCAAAATGGTTTGTTGAGCTGAATTAAACTTTTCCACAATTTTTGATATTGTCAGAAAATTATCTTGCTCTGTCATGGTATTGATAATGTCATCATCGATCAAAGATGGCCGCTGAGAGCGTGGCTTATCATTGAGGTCTGCTTAAAAATTTTTGAACCACCTCTTACTTGTTTTATCCAAAACTGCATCCCCAACAAAATTTTCACATGCTTCTGTAGCATTTCTTCCTTGTTGTATTTTGCACAAAATACATTGTCAAAAACAAAAGTATATCATTAATCATGTTCACATGATCACATTTGCTTAAGGTACTTGTGTTTCAGTTAATTTAGAGGAACAGATGTTTATAATCAAATGATGAAAAGTGACAGCCACATTGCAAATGGAAACTTTTGCGGTGCCCTCATTCTGAGCTCCTAAGAACCTTTTTGTGGTGCTCCCTTTTATTTATTTATTTATTTATTATTATTTTTTTGATGTCTTAAGTGCATGGTTATTTTGCCTAAGTTTGGGTTCAATCCATCTCTGCATTGCATGACATTGTGCTGATGTGTATGATCACTCTTTCAACCCTTAACATCTGTTCCAAACAATAAGGTCCAATGGTCCAATGCTGCCATGTCTACATGTCATTTTTCTAGATTTAAACTGATGATCTATAATCTGGAATCACCGAAGTTCTGATGATTCTATATCTCAGACTTTATACCATATGTTTCTTCTTCTCCTGTAATTTATATTATGTTTCAAAATTTCTACTATATGCATTACTTTATACTATTTGCTTGAAATTTTAGTTTAATGTAAAATTTTGACTAATGACAGTGAAATATTTTGCTACTCAGATATCAGAATTTCGAATGAAATTTAATACATGTGTAGTAACTAACATACCAAGAGTGGTCAAACTTCATGTCAATAAGAGCTTCATGTTGGAATTCAGGAATGTTCGAGAACCACAACTAGATTTCCCAAAAGCCACCAATTCATTTTACAGCATTTTAAAAATAGTGAAACGTTTCAAATGGAATGATTCATCTGATTCTAAACTATCATTCAATGGCAGTTTATCTTCTGCCTGTGGTGATGCATCGGAAATAGTGCAAAGTTTTGTGGTGTCTTGGTTTTCCCTAATTGCAGTTTGATATAGTAAAAATTACTCTGTTCAGTTTTTAAATAATCTAATTCTTCTTCAGTACCTACTTGTAAATGTTGATTAATGACAGCTTCAAATTCTTCTTAAATCTGGATCACAGCAGCTTGTTAGAAATTCTCTAAGATTCCAATTGCCGTAAATTTCTCATCCATTTGCTAGTCAAATCAACTTGTAAATTATATTTAACTTTTACCAAATTTTGTGTAATATTAAATGTTTATGATGCATTACATGTGTTTTCTGTTCCACTCTTAGACCAGCCCAAGTAGACGTAAGAAAATTTTGTAATGCAGATTTTGATTAAGTAATCTATATCTTTTATTAGCTTTAGAACGGCATGCTTAGTGGTGAAGTGCTTAAGATCACAGATTGCTGGAAGTTTGACCAGGCAAATGTACTGGCTGCATGGCTGGTTTTCATGGTTTTCCTCATTTGCAATGTGGATACAAGCCAATTTCCCTTAGAAAACACAAAAGGGGCAACAATCCCCTTAGGCAGATAGACCTCGTATGCTTTGCCGTATTCAAATAAGCTTAGGTTAACTTAAATTGAAAATCTGAAAAGCTATTCACAACAGCTCTTTCTTTTCACTAAATGGAACATTTTTTAAAAATTTATTTTATTTTATTATTTTTTAATTTTAATAATGAAAATGATTAGAAAATTTAAAGTGTGTGGGAACTAATTATTTTAATGTAGTTTAATTATTTATTTGTTTGTGTTTGAAGATAACTACCGAAAAATTTTGTATTGAATTTCTCTAAATTTGAATGTGGATTAAAATTTGTATTGAGTAATGCAAATGATTTAAACTATTTTTTGAAGAGTTATTTGAATTTCAGTTTTATCATGCTCACAGAATATGCTTTAATGTATTTTTATCAAAGAAAAGTAATATATTCTTTGCTTTTCAGGATAATGAACTACTTATATTATTGCTTGAAGTTTTTACAAATAAAATTAAGGTGTTTACAGAAATACAACTTCCTGCCATCATGCTCAAAACGTAAATATCAGTAAATAAAATATTTAATTTTTTTTAACATTAGCACTTTTAAATTTATTTTTACCATTTCATATAGTAGTGAAAATATGTTTTTTTGCCTCATACTTTCATATGATTTTTTAAAGGAAACATTGTTGATAAATTTTTCATTTAATAAGTTATATATGTTGAAATTATTTTTCCATGTTTCTCTCCTTCTGCAGGCGTGAGAAGTTAAAACAGTCAAATCCTGAAAACGCTCAAGCTGTATGTGATTCATATAGTGAATTAAATGGTTCAGAATTTTCATTTGAAGTTACATCATCACGAAGAATAAAACATAATATTCCACTTAATTTTGATCTTGAGCAAGAAATTGAAATGGTAAGACTTTCTGTATCAGTTTTTGAATTTATATCACTTTTGAGTAATTTGAATTATATTTATATCACATTAAATGAGTAAGAGGGGTGTGCATATCTTAACTTGAAAATCCTTTGGCCAAATTTGACCTTTTTCATGAATGTACTATGAGCAAGTACTCATTTTTTCTGTTCATTTTTTGTTTAATCATCATTAATGGTGATTAAAGCTTAATGGTGATTAAATGCTATAGTGAAAAATAAAGCAAGGGAACTTTTTAAAATTCCTTTATGATTTATATACACTCATGTTCAAAATTATCTTTACATATACAGAAATAATGATATTCCATGAAATATCTAATCAATGCAATCCATTTTTGCAAGAAATGTTTGAAAGACGAGTTTAGTAAGCATTATGCAATAAAAAGTGATTAAACGGTTTCTGATATGCCCGGCAAGGCATTACGTCATCTGACAGTGAGTTGAGCATTTTCTGTAAAATGAATATCTGAGTGAATTTCTGCAATACAATATTCGATTTCAGTGTGACTCGAAATGGTTTGTTATGGCTCTGAAGTATTATTTGGAAGAATCTGTAAAGTGGTGAATGATTCACCATTTAGAAGCAGGGCAGACAATCATGAAAACAGTATGATGTGTGAATACTGCAATACAGGCTATCTCTGTGCTATGGAAACAATTTCAGAACTTTAAAAAACTGGTGTAAGGAGGACAAGGTTGTAAATAAATAAGAGCTGCTTCTCAAGATCGATATCTGAGTAAAACAGCCCATCATGACAGGAAGTTTACAGCTCAGCAATTAAGTTCAAAGTGTGCAGCCGCCACTGAAATTATTGTATCATGGCAAACTGTATAAAAGGCTTAATGAAAGAGACCTTTATGCCAGTAATTCGAGGGTATTTGTTTTGCTGTCTTCACAATGAAAGAGGGATCACTTTAATTGGTGCAAAGAACATCATAACTGGAGTGAATAATAATGGTTCTATTTTTTCATTAGTAATGAGTTGAGGTTTAGTTTAACATCTGATTCTAAACATGTTTAAATCTGGAGGGAGTTATGAATGCAGAATATTCCTTAACATTATGCAACGTGCCCATTTTGGTGGTGTGATGGTATGAGGAGGAATAATGATTTATAGACTGAGCTTCTACACATTTTCAACAGTGGATCTGTGGCCAGATAGAGATACTGGGATGAGGTCTTAGAATTTTATGCAAGACTTTTTATAGATGCATATGGGTCAGACTTTTTATTCATGGATGATGATAATTGTCTGTATCAAGCAAACCTTGGTGATTAATTTCTTGAAAGTTAAAACATTGAGAGAATATCTTAGCCAGCAAAATCTTCCGATCTTAACCTGGCAGAGAACTTATGGGACTATGTTTGAGAAGCATTTGCATAGAGACATCCTCCTCTTAGAAAAGTAAATGTCCTGAATACTGCATTGTTAGAGGAATGGAACTAAATCCCTCAAACTGTAGTTACCAATGCTAAAATAGTTGTGTAGAAGTCGGGAAATCACATTCCATATTATTCGGTCTACCGGGAAGTTCTGTCCATTTTTGGAATAAAACAAAATACAAATTTTCCTTACAGTCAATAAACTTTATTAAATAATACAATTGCTATTATTATTAATAAATTCTTGCCAGCGTGATGGCAATTTGTATATTCCATTTTTGAAAAATGTTGTCTCTTTTGATACAAAAAATTGAACCAATTTATTCTTTGATATCTTCTTCATTTTTGAATTTTTTGCCCTTCAAAAACTTTTGTTATGACAAAAACATGTGATAGTCGGAGGGTGCTAAGTACGATGAATATGGTGGATGGGACAGAATTTCAATTCCTAGTTCTTCAATTTTTTAACGAGTCCCCAAATTAGCATGTGGCCTGGCATTATCATGATGCAGTATAATGTCCTTCCTATTGAACATCGCCGGCCCTCTTTTTTTTTACCTGCTTTCTTTAAATTTTTTTAATACCTATTGAACCCCTTTTTTGGCCTGCTGTCAGTTGTTGACAATACTTATATAGAAATAATGATATTCCATGAGTGAGCTTTTCGTTTGGTTTAAAAAGCTCATAATGTATTCGTCCTCGAATGTCCCACCATATACACAACATTCTCTTATTCAGAGTCAAATTTGGTTTTAGAGGTGGAAAAGCTATGTTTTCCGGGTTCACAATATGCCATTTTCCTTATGATGTTTTCGTAGGTAATGCACGCTTCATCCCCAGTTTTTATCCGGTTCAAGAAGGGCTCGATTTTGTTCCAAGGACGCAGAGATGTGCATATGAGAACTTGGTCATCCAAATTCTTCTGACTTAACTCATTAGCCGCTGGTGTTGTGTTGATGCAACGGTCAAAATAAATGCGTATATAAATATAACTACCTAAGATATCTTATACCAGCATATGATTTTGTGTAGGGAATATTATAAAGATTATTTCTGTAAAAAAATATTTGCCTTTAATGATTATTTTGTTTATAATAATTAATCTCACACTTTAAACAAAATTTTCGACTGGGTATTTTTGCTGAAAATATTTAACGAAAGTATCGCCGTCTTTATGAGTGATCTGTTTTTAGTCGAGGTCACCGTTTATCAGAACATTACATCAGTAAGATGTTTATATTTGTGTTGGGAAGGAAGGGAAAACAGGTGTTGCGCTGACGCAACATCAGCAGGAAATGGGTAGTCAATCTCCTTTTTCACTCGTTCCTTTCGATGTTCTGGTTCATGTTCTGGTTGTTTAAAAATGCCTAGAACGAGGTATCTTGCATTAGAAAAAGCCCTTCAAAGATTTTTTGATGAAGAAACAGATGATGATAATGTTAATAATGACCAGAATGAAACTGATATTGTTGTTGTTCCCCCAGAAATTGCAGAAACTAGTGACGAAGAAGAAAGGAATGGCAATGTTTTAAATAATTATAATGATATTTTCCCAAATGATACTGCTGGGGAAGTTGAAATTCACGTAAGGAGTAAGTTTCAGCCTTCTAAAAGCAGTTATAGTCATACTAAAAAGTTTAAAAAGCAGAAGATTGAAATCTTGAAGTGGATAGAAAAGAAACTGTTAGTTATGTCTCAGGAAGAACATGAAAAAAGAGATAGAATAGAAATTGTAAAAGACAAAATACAAGGTAAAACTAATGCAAAGATTTTCGATTTTCCTTTTGGTTTAGACATTTACTCTCTTCTCATTGAACAGACAAATATATACATGCTCAGGGGAGGGGGAAAAAAAAAAAAAAAAAAAAAAAAAAAAAAAAAAAAAAGCTCAGAATTTATTGGATCTGAAATCTATATAGAAGATTTATTGGAATATTATTGCTTACAGGATATCATTCTTTATCTCAAGAAAAAATGTATTGGTCTTTTGATAAGGACATTTCTGTTCCTGTTGTACAAGAATCGATATCATGTTTGCAGTACAGGAATGTGAAGCAGAACTTGTATTTGAAAAATTAATGTTAAATATCTTTTAACCATTGTAATGAATTATATTTGCATAGCCAACCCTACTTTTGCAGTTATGAGTTTTGCAGTGATTTCAAATGTATTTCCATGTAGTAACCATTTGTGCAGAGCTTTTCCATCTTGTGAAAAATATGCATATTTCTCTTTGGATGGCATTTACCAAATTTGAATAAAAACCCTTTTCAGATATCTACCAATCTAGGAAATCTGCAATCTACAATTTAGGAAAGGTTTTAAGATTTTGACCATGCATGTTGCTATTGTCTAAGTGATAGCATGTTCAACTAGCAAGTGGAAGGTCCTTGGTTTAAATCTTAGCAAGGGCATAATTATTTCTTTGTTTCCTTTTATAAAAAAAGCCTAATATTTCTACAGTGAACCCCCAACTGAAATATGCTGAGGGATAATTCATCACTACCTGAGTATTGTGTCTCTCCATAGGAACCCTTTTTAAGTAGGGAAGAATGTAAGAAATTATCAGTTTTCTTTGTGTGCTCTCATACCCAATTAGCATATCCAACCAGCTGTTTGAAGAGCCTTTGTTAGAACCTCAGTGAGGACATAATTATATTTTTATATTTTCTGCTCCAAAAAGACCGAATATCTTTGGAAGTTAAGTAATAAAGGTTGCTTGAAATCCTTTGCATTGTACAAATATATATGCAATCATTTAGTGCAAAATCACCATCTAGTGGTGCTAACATATTTAAGTATAGATTATATTTTGAATTACTTTTAAGGTTTGGTAGTTAATTTTTTAAAACATATTTCTAATTTGCAGTTTTTTTACTCTAGTCAATTTGAATTTCTGTATTTAATATGTTTGATTTTCTTTCTAGAGTGCATTTAATATTTCCTGTAGCTGAAGATTCATATCCTTCTATTTCTGATTTCAAGAATTTGGTGAAAGCTCTTATTGAAGCAGCTAAAATCACAGCTTGGGGATTCATCACTCCTAAGAAAAAGAGAAGTAAAAAATTTTCCATCAATTTGTTTTCTTATCTAACATCTATTTGAGCAATGAAGTAAAATTTGTCTACCTTGTGAATTAGTTTCCTTTGCTATGGTAAGCAATATTGTTAAACTGAATATTATAGTCATACATATAGTAAAAGTGTGAAAATACACTGGAACTTCGAGATACGAATTTAATTTGTTCCAGCATTGAGCTCGTATAGCGAATTTCTCGTATCTAAAAACAAACTTACCCATTGTATATAATGGAAATAAAGTTAATCTGTTCCGCACCCCCAAACATCTCATTACCATCTCATCTTCAGTCCACGTACCTGGTGTTTTTCGGAGTAGGTCCAAGTAAAGATTCTTAGCCTTAGCGCAAATAACAGTTTCCGACACTGAATCTCATTTTAACTGTTTCTCATTAATCCACACCAACAACAGTTTCTCAATATTTTGACAATCCCGCTTTTACATCACGCTTATGTTTATCTATGATTTCTTTCTTAATTTCAATGGCCATGGTTTCTTACTTTTTCTTTGCAGCTCTCTCTGAGGCAACAATTTTCTTGGGAGGCATCATGAAATGATTATTTTCACATTAAAAGTGAAAAATAACTAGTACACAAGCGTACAAACATGTTGATCAAAGAACACTAAATGATCTGACGAGGGGATTCCCTGAGTCGAGCCCAATCGGGAAATGTGCCACGTGCTCAACAGCCTGGCTTGTTGCTCATTACTCGAGTCAATGCTTGTATTTAGAGATGAATTTTTTGCTCATGCTTTCCTCATATCTCGAATTTCTCATATATAGAGCTGCTCGTATTTTGAGGTTTAACTGTAGGATAAGATGAAACAAAATCTCTTGATTATGTAACAAATTTTCATATTCTATTCAAGTCACCATTCACAATCAGATAAGTACATAATAATAATAATAATAATAAAAGAATTGTAGAAAATAATCTCTTTTAATTATAACATTGTTTTATTTCAGACATATAATAAAAGCATCTCCAAAGGGGGGATATATCAAGGAAATGAGTATGAAATAAGTATTTATTTTTAGATAATGCTGACCATAAATTGTAAGAAACTAGATTCACCTGTGATTGTTATAACTGAATTATAGTGTCAGAACATTTTGAAATGTATTTTAGCTTCTGCTTCATTTGCCAATTTATTTATTGGCAATATACTTCTCTATGTAATCATGCATGCAACAATAAAAAAATGGATATCTCTTGTTTATATTTTACACTTCTAAATCCATTGGCTGTCAGTATATGGTGTCCTGTAAGGCCGTATGTTTTATATTTCTTATGTATCAAATGTATCTGTGTGCTTTTGCTCATTATCTTTCATAATATTATGCATCACCATATTCTTTGAGACATTTTCTCAACAAAGTAGGATTCTACATTCATATGTTATTAAACTATACTTGCATGATTTATAAATTTTGTTTCTGTTCATTTCCAGATAATGGCTGATTTAAGCCCATTTCTGATTGAAAAGCATGTTTGAATGGGTTGACTTACAGGTCATGTATATGAATGGATAAAGAAGTAACTAATGCCCCTGCTTTTTTTTTTTTTTTAATCATTAGAGTCTCTTCTCAAATAATGATTCTATTTTGAGAGAAATGAAATTTAGTCTCACATGTTTGAAAAGGCAAGGTTCCCATTCATGGAAGAGTCCTGGAAAATCAAGAAATGAAAATACAGTCAAAAGTCGTTAATTCGGACACCTATAATCCGGAATCATCTATAATCCGGACCTCAAAGCTACAAAATTTCTGCGCATGTGTCGCATTGACGCATGCGCGTAAGGCCTTTACGGCTGAGAATATGCTTGTGCGTGTGCGCAAAATACGTTTACGAATCCGCGTTTAATGTATAACGAACGGTATAAGCTAAGCTAAAATTATTTAATTATCTATTTCAGTTAATGTTGCAGATTGCATTGTTCCTTAATCTTCGAATTGGATCCGGCTTATTATTTTTTGCAGACTATTAGAGCAATTTTATAAAAGTAAGCTTGAACTTTCGATTATGTCAAACAGAATTTCTGATATATATTTATTAATATGTAAATGATGTACAAAGCGAAAGTATGTTTCGAAGTTCATTAAACAAAAAGTGGAATTGCTACAAAAAATGGATAAAGGCATATCCTTTGTTTATCTAAACTTTAACGTTTGTTTATCTAAACTTTGTTTATCTTTAACGCCACAGCGCAGTGCTATGAATTGGAAGTTGATCTGTCAGCACTATCCTTATCTTCAGGGCAGATGTTTTTATTTTATTTGGCTTATTCCTTATTAATGTAGTATTTCATCTCGATGTGCTTCATCTTTGATATGATTTAAATCAAATTCCTCGTCATTATAATTCGCTTCCGATAGCGAAGAAAGTGACAGTTTATTGAAAACGAAAAAATTTCAATTGACAAATTAGTCGGTATTCTCGACACAGCAATTATAGGACTTGAACAGCTGAACTTTGTAACTGAACAAGAAATTATGTCTGTTGATAGAATTAAAGAGAAAGTGTTATCACATAAAATGAAGCAACTTAAACAACTTACATTAAAAGAAATGTTTAATAAAGTAAACAAATAAATATTAAGCTTTTTCTTTTTGTAAATTTTGATACCCTTTAGATCATAATTGTTCTTTATTTCATAAATTACAGTTTCATACTTTTAATTTTAGAATTTCTGCATGCCATCTTACCAGATTTACACTGATGATCTATAATCCGGAATCACCGAAGTCCCGACGAGTCCGGATTAACGACTTTTGACTGTATAAAAATCGGTCAGGGAAAGTCAGGAAAAATGTAATTGTTGTTCATAGTCAGAACTGGTATGCAAGGAATAAATTGCATTTCTGAGAAATGAAGTTCTTATATGACTTTCATTTATATTAGAATATTTAGTGTTTAGTTATTTGTCATTCCTCTGAAACCACAATGGTATCTAATAGAAGCTTTGTATTTGGCAAAAATATATTATACAGGTAACTTAATTAGATAAGGATCAGAATCTTTTTTTTTTTTTTACTGTTGATCAATAGCATTTATGAATTATCTTTGCAAAATTCTTGAAAAAAATGGGTAAACTTTCTGTTGATTACTAGGAGAGAAAAGGGATTATTTGTTACTATTCTTTTATTTTGTGTATCATAACAACATTCTGTTTTTAAATATTGCAGTTTGTCTCTCTCTCTTTTTTTTAATAATGATTCATTGGTCATAATTTAAGTTCCATTTTTTATCCCTGTTTAATGACATGAAGATATGCAGCTCGCTGTGACCTTTTTAATGTTTGTTTAAAACTTTTCTGTTTAAATTGAAAATACTTTATGTTTAAAATTTTTATAGCAGAGATCCTAATTAGGAACAAAGTTTGAATCTGGAGTTTAGGACTGGAAACTAAACAGCACACTGATATATGATATTTTGAAAATGAAACTTTTACAACCAAAGTGGACAAAGGTAAAGTGGTACTATAGAAAATGGTGGCAGTATTTTTTAAAGTAGACCATGCGTCAGCTGTTATTTAGAAACTTATAGGCCAATAATGTCAAGTTATATATTGTACTTATATCACTAGCTTGATATTTTTGTAATGAAAATATCAAACATTCAGTAAACTGCAACTGAAATTGTGAATTTTTCTTAGAGAAATCAGTTTAGCACATTCATTGCCACCTATGAGAATACTTGTAGCTAGCAAGCTGAGTTTACTTGCCAACTACAAGATAACTCATTATTGGTCACCTTACTTAAATCACTGAGTATGAGTATTGCTGTAGCAAATGCATGCAGTAATTACATGTTTGGACAGCAAGGGACATTATTTACTTAGGAAATCTTATAAATAGACTGTCAAATTCTTGTTCAGTGACTCATGTAAAACTAATGGAAAATGCCACAGGGTGAGTACTGTTTATCTAGTTCCTAATTATATCATATTTGGCACAGGGAGCAAAAATATTTGTTTTCTGATATGGTTATAAATTAAATGTTAACCAAAAAATTATAACTCTTCATACATATATATAGACCTCTCTTTTGCTTTTTTTAGGTGTCTCGCGAAATGATGTGAAAGAAACTAATGCCTCCTTAAGTAAACTTGATGTGAAAGAAACAAATGCATGCATAAAGTTCCTTAAATATGCCTTACAAGCTCTTGATATTTTTGTAATTCCAAGCAGAATTGCGACAGTAACGAGGTATGAATTTTGCTAGCCTGCATTCAGTTAATTTGAAATTACATGCAAAGAGATTACTCTAATTTTATGTAAGTCAGCTTTAATTTAATTAAAATTTAATATTATTCTAATAAGTTAGATGTATTTATAACATGTTTTCACCTAAATTGTAGAAGTCTATCAAAAGCAAAAATATATGAAAATGGTAACAAAGTAATTCCTATTTTTCATTCTAATTCAAAAGGAATGAAAGCCTACTGTTCATGTGTTTTTAAAGGTATCATGTGACATGTTAGAACTTTGACAAAAAAATCAGTCGTAGCTTTTAATTAGAAAACCAGATTTCTGTTTTGTAATATTTTAAATTTTTCTTAGTTAATTTTGTAATTTTTGTAATTTGTTAAATTCTAGTTACATTTTTTTTTAGTTATTTCTTTCTTTCTTACTATTATTTATTCGGCAGGTAAAATTGTACATCACAGTTTTGACTAAAGTATTTTGATTTGTAATATGATAAGAAGTATAGCAAAATATGTTAATTCAGAATTTAAAAAAAATGCTGGTGAATGTAATTGGAAGGTTTGAAAAATTTTGCTGATTGCAATTAATATGAATATTGCTTTGTCGTTTATTCACTTTAGTGTAAATATTTCTCATTATAACATGTAATAAAAACTGTTGTTAATTTGTTTTTCTCATTTACTGAACCAGATGCTTCTTTTTGGTAAAATAATAATTTTTGTATTATGAAAAATATACGAAATTGAGAAAAACATGAAAAGTTTTAAAAAATACTTGATTTAGATGTAATTGTATAGAAAGTTAAAATTGCACACATTACTATAGCATTGAACTATTTATTTAATGAAAAGAATAGAAATTCAGAGTTTCAGAGGTTACATTCTGGGTACAGAATTTAACTTCTTGTACCATGTATTAGATTGTAGCAGTTAGATAACTTGAATTTAATTTGAAATATATAAACCATCTGCACATCTAAATCTTTTGAAGATGACAAAAGTAGTATATAATTATAAAAATTATCAATTCAGTTTTAATTTTCTTCTGCATGCTAAATTTAATTTGTCTGCATGCTTTCCAAAATATCGTGCATTAATTAAGGCCTAAGTTGAAAATGCCAAATTTTCCCTAAATTTTTTTAATATGAGTGTATTATATTCTATATATTACACTTGATATTCAAATTCAAAATTTAATGCTTATTAAGGTTCTAACAAATAATCAGATGTCCAATAAATTTATTAATTTTTGTCTTAAAAAAGGCAGCGTTCGGTACTCGGTATAAGCGTTTTACTGTGGGGATATGATAATATTACCCTAAACCATCTAGGCAGGTAATATTTGATGACTCTGAGTTAAAAGATTTATAAATTTCTGTAATTATTCTTATAATTATTATAAATGATGTAATGCACTAGTTTTTCTGACTTCTTTACTTTTACTAACTAAATGAAGAAATTTCCTTTTCTAAGACTTGTTTGAAGCCCAATACAAGTGAAGATTTTTTGCTTTTCTGTATTCATTTTCAATTTCACTCTTTCAGCCACAAATAAATTGATTTCATTTCTTTGTTACTGTTTGAAGATAATGTAGCTTGAGCAAGACTTTTCTCACCAACATTTCTGCCAGCCTGAACACCCTCTAATTTTTCCTGCCTTCCTAAAATAGCCTCTACCAAGCTACTTTTTTACACCCACACTTCTCCAACACCACCCTTTCTTAATCTCCAAGTTACAGCAAACGTCAAACAATATTGTCATTTTGTTGTCCACTTAAATTTAACAAACATATAAGTTAAATTTAATTCATTTCTGGCCATCTTCATGTATTATTTTTGTTAATATAAAAAACCCTTTCATTCTTATAAAGATGTTATATTTTTATTCTAGTAAGATAAGAAAATATAGGTTTATTATTATTTCTTATTAATTTTTTTATGTCTTTAGTTTTTGAATTGTTTAATTCTTTTTGAATGTCCTGTCTGAAACTATTTTAATTTTGCAAAACAGCAAATGTGTCGAGAATGGTCTTGTGCAAGAATATTAAAAATCTTTAATTAAATGTTTTCCTTGACTTAAACTATGATTATATTATATCAGTTTTTGGTATTATATTATATCGTTAATTTTTTGACATTATTTGGTTTTTATGATTAATTCTTGCTTAGTAAGATGAGGAAACACGTTTACTCCCATTAATTACTGTGACTTAATCAGAAATTGATTGGTTTCCCTTGAAAAATCAATTAATAGCAATAATTATTTTACTTTTTTTACTCTATTTTTATAAAAGTGACTCATGTTTTTAATTTTGCCCAAATATTACTCTTAATGAATTATTTCCTTTCAATAGACAATTCTTGAATTTTAATTAATCTTTTCATAAAAATGGACATTTATTAATCTTATTTGTCTATTTCATTAATATTCATTATTTTTTATTAATATTCACAATTTCTTTGTCTAGAAGATAATTGAAAAACTGCTTAATAAATACATTCATATTTACTTACATAGCAGCTTTAGGGCAAGTTCTGGGCTTTTGAAGTCCAAAATTACCAAGTTTCATTAGTTATATATATTTATTTGAAATAATTTGTTGTTAATAGTTCGCAAGAAGAAGAAAAAGATGCTATTGGCGAATTGGCAGAAATAGTAAGTACTTAAATGTAATATTATAGAATGCAAATAAATAAATTAATTTATTATTATTGCAATTAGCAGTGATAATAGTATTTTTTATAGTATAATAAATGATAAAATATTAATGTGCCATATAAGTTTCGGTACTTTTCCGTTTTGCCGGCGTAAGCGATAAAGTCACTAATAATGGTACAACCGATGCCAAACAAATGGAATATCCTCGCTGGTAACATTTTACGCCTCATTTTCAAAACAAGTCACACACAGCTATTTCTTATCAGATTGATTGTTTCTTTCAATACTGACATATAATTACAAAGCATTTTTACCAGATAGTTCAATTTTATGCCTTAAGGCCATTCGCGGTAATTAAGTCAATTAGGATGCAATCACACTGCTCACCCAAAGGTGAAAATATGGAAAAGGCAAAGGGTTAAATTCATCAATTCTAATGAGAATGCACTAGCAAAGTAAAGCACTGCAGTTTTACAATATTCTGAGTAAGCTATTGTATGAATTGAAATAATTCTTTCATTTAAACTTGTATTCCAAATTAAAATTTAACTTAAAATTAAAGTAGATAATTACTGAGAGAATTAGATTTTTGTAGTGTAGTTTATGTGAGATGAGATTACTTGATATGAACCAGCGAATCAGGATGTTGAACCATAGTAAATTCTCAAATTAATGTCTTTTTACAAATTTATTGGCTTTTTACAAAATTTTAAATGTTATTAAGAAGTTTATGCCTTCAAAATAAAAAATTCTTAAGAACTAACATTTTTTATCTGTATACTGTATGTTGTTGCCAATAAAGTCTGCTTGGCGAGATTTTCACCAGCAAAATGGCAAAGTACCTAAGCTTTCAAGTAGTTTTTTTTTTTTTTTTTTTCTGTATAGGTTTACATATGGTACTAAATATTTATATATAAATAAATATAATATATTATTCTTATGTATATTAATCCTTGTTAAAAATCAAAAAGGCAAAAATCTTCAGCAAAGCAGTTTTATAATCTTTATTTTTTGTAGTACATCCTCGTGTATAATTAGTGATATATGTGAGCAATAGATTTCAAGTTCGTAATTTCGGTTCTTGAAGTTTAAAATGTAAAATAAATCTCCTTCATTCTCGTTTCTGTATTATTACATCATAAACTGAGAGCATGCGTAAACTGGTTTTAATTACATGAAATGAAAATAAATATTAATTAATTCCAAATAAATATTAATAAATGATTGGGTTTCTAATAACCAGTATTGATTTTGCAGTGCACTTTTAAGCAGAGTATTATGTATTTGGTATTTTCTTGTATTATTTTAATTGCTTCATTTACATAAAATCTCGTATGTTTAGCATATAATTTAGCTATTTTCATAAATGATATAATTTTGTTATTTAATCTGTAATTTTGTGTTTTTGTAGTTGTGCTATTTGTAGTTATTTACTTGTGTTACATTTTAAAGTTTTGCTGAATTATCAAAAATATTTTATGACCTGCTGATGTTCTTTATAATTTATATCTTTTGTATTTTCCTTGTAAATACTTTCTTTTTTTTTTTCCCAACACAGTTTACAATGTTTCATCCCATTACGTTTGAAGGAATTTTCTCCAAGGTGTTAGAAGTAAGTAGTTTTAAGTTCTAAAAATTATATTTCAGTATTCATATCAGTGAAATTATATTTGGTGACAGTAGAGAATGTGTAAAAATAAGTTATAATTTGTTGTTTTTTAAGATTAGTAATTAATACATAAATTGAATTAGTCTGTTATATGCTTTTGGAATATATTACAAATAATAACATTGTTCTAATATACAAGGTGTGGCTATTAATATTCAGGACTGACGTCACAGCATGAAACCGATCATTCGCCTGAGAGAGGTGCTGCTGGTATCTGGAAAGTGGTACATCTGCACATGCTCCCCACAGCGCGCGTCAGTTGTAGACACGAGCTTGGCTGGAAAAGACACGTGGAAACGTATCTGGTGAAGTGTTGTTGTCGAAGTGGGAAAGTGGTGTTGTGGAAGTGCTGAAATGGAACAAAGGTTGAACATCAAGTTCTGCTTTAAACTGCGTAAAAGTGCAACAGAAACATATGCAATGTTGAAGCAAGTAGTGTATGGTGAGAAAGCATAATCCGGTTCCCACACATTTGAATGGTATGGACGTTTTTGGGACGGCTGTGAAAGTGTTGAAGATGATGCCCACACTGGAAGGCTGATTTCTGTGCGTATGCCTTAAACAATTGAGAAAGTTCATGAGCTTGTAACAGCAGATCGGTGACTGACTATTCGAATGTTGGCCAGTGAACTAAACATCGACAAAGAGGTGGTTCACCAAATTCTGACACAAGACCTAGGAAAACACAAGGTGTGTTCCAGATTTGTCCCACACTGTTTATTGGATGATCAGAAGCAAGTCAGAATGGACACGTGTGGTTAACTCATAAAAAACGCTATCTCTGACCCTGCTTTCCTGGATTCGATAGTGACGTGTGCTATCAATACAACCCTGAAACCAAGAGACAGAGCACAGAATGTCGGTCTCCCAGCTCTCCTAAACAGAAAAAATTTCGATTTCAAGGGTCAAAGTCATGTTAATCGCTTTCATCGATAGTGAAAGACTTATTCATCATGAATTTGTCCCACCAGGCACTACTGTTACAGGACAGTTTTATGCCGAAGTTCTTGACTGTGACAAAAAATTCACAGAGTACGTCCCCATTTTTAACAGAATGGGAATTGTTTTCTGTTGCATGATAATGCCCGCCCCCACACTGCATTGCCAGTGAAGAGTTTTTTGCCAAGCATTAGGTTGTGGAGCTGCATCATCCGCCATACTCTACTGACTAGACCCCCACAGACTTCTTTTTATTTCCCAAACTCAAAGTGGTGATCAGAGGAACATGCTTTGTGGGTGTTGAAGACATCAAGAAAAATGTGACGTTGACATTGAAGAGCCTTCCGAAAGAGGACTTTAAAAATTGTTTCCACAACTTATACAGCTGAGCACTGAAGTGCATTATGGCAGATGGGGATTACTTCGAAACATAGTAAAAGCTTACGTTTTTCACATCATATGTTCTGGTGTTATTAGAGTAGTCTTGGAAATTAATAGCGACACCTTATATAATTTTCTATTTATCAAAGGAATATGCAGTTTAGTGAAGATGCATTATAATTTCTTTTAGTGTTATTATAAGACAGTTTTAGGCAAAATGATATGGGAATGCTATGTTTAAATCATTTTGTTTATTTTAATAACTTTGATTTCTTAAAGAAAACCATAATTTTTATTATTATCCAAATATTTGCTGCTTAGAAAATGAATTTCTGTTATTATTTTATATTTGTTTTATATTCTATTCTTATTATATATATGTGTTTCATTTTTCTGAAGAAAGCTTTCTTCCATTCCCATATTATAATTGCTTTTTGCATTTATAAAAATGTTATATTTTATTTACTTATTTATTTTTACTTGCAACAAATATATCATGTATACAAGACTGGAAATATTCTTTATTATTTTGGAAGAAATATAAGGATTAAAATCAGTTGTAGTTAGTAATTTTTTTAAAAAAAGGATACTATTTACAACAGATCTGATGCAGACTATATGTAGAAGAGATGCTTTTTTTATATTGCATCTTTTCTTGTACAAAATATCTGCAGTATCTTAGCATTTATCAGCAGTTAGTGACCAGAAAGTGATGAAACTTTGTAAACAGAGAGAGAGACAGCAATGAACAATAGGTGATATTTATTTCGAAATTATCTGCGTAATATAGAGCGAGAACAGCGCCAGCTCAATAGGTTGTAGAACCACCTTGGGTAGCAATACACAAAGCAACATGTCTATGTACAGAGTTAAGGAGACTATGGATGGTGTCCTGAGGAATGGCTCTCCATTCCATGTCAAGCATTTGCCACAGTTCATCTTCTGAATGCAGGAATGGCAAGGTTTGCAAATGGCGTCCAATCATATCCCAAATGTGTTTGATTTGTGAGAGATCAGGACAGAACTGTAGCCAGGGAAGCATCTGTACAACTTGCAGAGCACGTTGGCTGATGCAAGGAGTGTGTGGTCGGGCATTATCCTACTGATAAAGGGCACTTGTCAGTCCCATACCTTCAAAGACCACAGCACATCATCCATGTATCATAAGGCTGGCACAATGCCTTAAATACGAACTAGAGGTAACCTGGAATCTTACACAATTGCGCCCCAAACCATGATGCTGCATTTTTGCACGGGATGTTGCGCAGTTGCTGTTGGATTGGACCTGTCTCCACATCGACGACACACTTGTATGTGGTGACATTTCTGTTGGAGAAACAGAAGAGTGAGTTATCTGAGAACATGCCTCTGTGCCATTCTGTCGTCCACATCGCTCAAGCCCAGCACCACAGACGTTGTAGTCTATGATGTGGTGTCACTGTCATTCAGAAAATTTTGATGTGAGCTGAAGAGATGAAAATCTGAGGAGGTAAAATCTGGGGAAGATGGAAAGGGGAACAAAAAATAGATTAACCATATTCAGTAAGTCGTTGTCTGAATTCATTGAAGTACAGGGTCGAGCATCGTCATGATGGAATACAACATCTTAATGACTGGTCAGCTCTAAATGCTTTGCTTAGATTTCTGCCTCTAAAACTGCTATTTGGAAACAGTATTTTTCTGAATTTATTGCTTGTTTTGGTAGCATCAACTCATAATGTAGAATTGTTTTGTAGTCCCAGCACACAGTCCCATACACAAAGCAATATTTTTTTTGGGGGGGGGATTTAGCCCCTTTCTTAATGTTACTAAAAGAAGTTCATTTGGCTTACCCTGTGATGTTTTTTTTTTCAGCTTTATTGTATAGTATCCAGTTTTCATCTGCACTGATGAACCGTGCCAAAGGAGGAGATTCTTTATTTTATTTCAGCAAAGGATCACATGCAGAAACTGAAGCAAGTGCATTCTGCTGTGTTAAAGTATGGGTATGCATAGATCAGAATGGGTTGCATGTCTATGCAGATTTTCAGAAAGAGCTTCTTTTAATAGGTCCTTGTTTGTAGTGGATGGTCATATAGAGTGGGCATGATCTTCAAGGCTGAAATTTTCTCATTTAAACGTCCAAAAACCTGTGTAATTTTTAGTGTACTCTAAACTTTCAACTATAACTAATGATTTATGCTTACATTTGTTAGTACTACTTTATCTTTTGCACCTCTTGGTCTGTTAATTGATGTATTTGAGGGCTATAATGCAGTTAAATGTAGGAAAAAAATAAAGTCATAAAATCAAAATGTGTGGGCACTGGCCTGGTGGCAGGCTCAAAATGAACTGGATCATGGAAGTTGTTGAATGAGCATTGGACTGAAGAGATACAATCTGTCTAGTCTTCTTCATTAACAGACTGGTGATTTGTGCTTAATTTATTTATGAGTGTTTATTAGCACAAACACTTTTTTATATTGTGAGTATTTTTGCCATTACAAACAGTTGGTAATGAGTGAAATGTGGTAGTATTATATAATTTCTTTCAGTTGAATTTCTCTCCGTATCTGTAATGCTCACATTTTTGTGATTACTATCTCATAGTTTTGGCTATTAGATTTAGTTATGTTATTGTATTCTGTCACAGTTTTTTGCTATTAAAACGTCTTCACAATAGAAGATGTATTATAATCTTAAACCTAAATTGTAATTTAATTATCGTTCAGCTTAACATTTTCAGAAATTAATTTTTTTAATTCAAATTACTTGTAAATTATCCTCGCAGTTTACTGCAGTATTATTAAGCATGCAATTTTTTTTTATGAAATGTTAGTCATATCATGTCTTTTATTTTCTACTTCCATTCACTGATAGAGCAAAATCCTAGTTTAATGGTAGAAGATTTGTATTGGAAGCTTAAGTAATCCCTTCAATAATCTGTCAGAATTAAAATGCTGTAGGAAAAGTTTTTGAATAAGTCAGTAGTATCATATGGATTATCATTTATGAATTTGGGCAACAAATGCAATTTTTCACTGGTTACTTTCTCAATTCAAAAAGGGACATTTTTCAACTGAAAAATCATTGATGAAGAAAAATGAATCCTGTATAGGAATGTGAAATGTAAAAATTGTGGATTGATGAAAGCAAGACATTATTTGTAGTTTTCAAAAGATGTTTTTATTCAGGATGTTTTCATGTTTTCATTCTATATGTTTGCTTTTATCGTGAGTTTTTTTTAGAATATCAAACCATCCCTCAAAAGTTGACACAACTGAAGAAAGGGGTTAATAAAATGGATTGATGATAGTTAACAGTGTTTAGTATTTAAATAGGCATGCCATTTCATTATGACAACTGGCACAAGAAATTTTGCAGAAATTAAAACAATTTTATTGGGAAACTTTGACACAATCAAGTTACTATCTTTCTCAAATTCTTCAGAGCCTTCTTAATAATGATTTTTTTTTTTTCATTTGAAATATGATGCGTGAAAAGAGCCCAGTTCATTTTTTGGACTGAAATACAAAGTCTTTTATCATCAGGGTACTGAAGATTTGAAAGAAAGGAATGAATTGTATAAAATAGTGTGGCCATATTTTAAAGCTGGTTAAAAAATTACTAAAGAAAAATAAGTTGAAAGAAATTTAAGTGCTTTGAATTTTCTGAATGATGGCAATAAAATTTGCAAGAGAGAACATAATAGTATGTGAAATTTTTAATATTTATATAAATTTATTTTGTATCTGTTTATATTTTTCTCCATTTTATTATTAATAGTTTGTATAAGCTAGAATAATTTGTTTTATAAAATGCTGTTGCCACAAATGTATTTCTGTAAGAATGATCAAATTTCGTGTTTAAATTTTTTTAATAATTCTTCTTGTAATTCTTTTTTTCTAACTTTTTAATTAGGTTTAAGACTTTCTTATAATTCTTGTTTTCTAATTTTGTTTCAGTACATGATTAATTGCATAGTTCGGAACCCATCTATTATGGTGAGAAAAAAATTTATTTATTTATTTTTTATTTAAAAAATTTCTGTAGAATCCCCCCCCCACAAAAAAAAAGTCAGTTTTTATCCCTTGAAAGTACAGTGATTTCTAAATAGACATAAGTAGGAGCTGTTGAATGCTTAGTTATTGCCCATAAATATAAAAAGTATTTGCTTCTTAAATTAAGTAAACAATTACATTGTTGACTGATTCTAATTTTTGTTAAAACCTGATATGATCATAAGTTAAAACTCTGAAGAGAAGTCTGTAAAGTGTGAATTAATAATTATATAACAGTTTTTCATTAAGGTTTGAATTTGACATCTCTATTATTAAATTATGAACATTGTATTTTTAATTTTTTTTACATATTTTATATTTATGGCAAATTTAATTAGTGACTGATTAATAAATTTGGCAATTTAAGCATTGCAGGGCCATTTAGGAAAACATAAGATATTTATGTTTTTCATATTTAATCAGTAAACTCAGTTAAAAGCAGTGTGTTGCTACTTGAGAAGCTGTAAGCATTTATGTTTCAAATTTAATCATAAAACTCACATATAGAAATATGTTACCCCTGCTAGAAATAATATATTTTGATCTTCCACATGCCAGTATGTTTGCCAGTCAGAGAAGCTTCATATATTTAATTTTTCTTTGAAATTTAATCTCTCTGTAATTAACAAAGCAATTTCAGAGCAATAAATGCATTTGTTTTTTAATGTTATTAATTAGAAGCTAAACTCGCAAAATTGTGCTAGCTTTAATCATTAAAATTATTGTATATTTTTCTTTTTTATAATCTATTTCAGGCCGCTGGCTGTGCAGGCAGCTAGCATTATAACCACTTTTCTTTTTTTATAATATACTTTTTTCATTTTATAATGTACTTTTCAAATGTGTAAAGCTCACATACAGCTTGTTAAATAAATGTTGTGATTGCTATGTGAGTTTTTCGTAATAGCACCTAATTGCTTTGAACTACTAAAAAAGCTTATGCGTATTTTTATATTAAAAAAAATATTATTCTAGAGTGGGATTTCAAACATATAATGAGGATCAACATTTATAGTTTTTCAGATTTTTTATAGACATTTTTTATTTTAAAATTGTGTATAATTATTTTATTATTATTTGATAATATATAAATCTACAAAACGGTATTAAAGAAAAGCTTCATAATTTTTTGTTAATTGTGCCCTACTTTTATGACATCAAAACTCGTCAAAGAGAGCTGTGCATTTTTTGAAACAAAATATTAAAAATATGGGCAACAAAAATGTAGTAAAATATATTATAATTCATGAAGATTAATCCATTGCAATGCAGATGAGGGTGATTCAAATGAAAATCTTAATTATTTTTTTATGAGGCAAATGAGAAAATACAGAAAAATTATGTATATGTCATTTTTTTATATAATTCCTATAATGAGCAATGCATGTCTTTTGGCATTTTAGAAGTATCCGGTCAGTCTATAAGTTTGTGCACATTAAGAGTATGCATGGAATTCACTATGACACATTTACTAAAACGTTACAATTTTGAACCTGTTGAAACTTGTCATCGTTTGACTAACATATTATTCAGTTCATCACCAATTTTTAAAAATATCGAATGCATTTTTGTCCCATAGAAGACCAATATAGACAATCAGTACAAACATGCTGTGCTACATTTTTTATTTTCTTGTTTTGAATCTGCCAGTTTTGCAGCGATAAAAATTAATAGTGTACATGATGAACACATTATTAGTGTAAGGACTGACCAAAAAGGGTTTAAAAAATTTAAAGTTGGAAAAAGCAGCATTGATGATGAACCCCGCTCTGGTCGTTTTGAACTGTTAGAACCAAATCAAACAATTAATTCAGAAGTTTATAGTGAACAACTTTGCCTCAGAATTGATCAAATATCAAGAAAGTGTTGTTTCATCACGATAACGCTAGACCGCATATGGCTCGAACAACGCTGCAAAAAATAATGAATTTAATTGTGAGCTTTTGCCACATCCTACTTACTCTCCAGATATTGCCGCAAGTGATTTTCACTTATTTCGTGCCTTACAAAATTTTTTACTGGGATTAAATTCTAAACAGGATGTACACAATGAACTTTCAAGTTTTTTTGCATCAAAACCAGAGTCTTTCTACAGCAATGGCATAAAAAAAGCTGCGAGTAAGATGGCAACACATTGTAGATAATGGAGGAAAATATATAATTGATTAAAATGTTAAATTGTGTTTTTTTATATTATTTAAAAATCTGCCAAAAAATGCGCATGAATTTATGGACTGACCCAATACATGGTTAACTTGTCAGAAGATTCTTTTGGTTCTGAGTTTAGACACATGTGCATCGTTGTTTCTCGTTTTCTTCACTTTGGAAATGCTGGCCTTTCATCTCTTGTTTGACCTGTCTGAACACATGAACATTACTGGGAATGAGGTCTCATGAATAAATGGATGTGTTAGATATTCACATTTTCTTATCCAGAGTTGTTTCAACCATTAAATGGGAAATATGTGTCATGATGTATATAGCAGTCTGTGTTGACATGCATCCCACCAGTCAGTGGCTGAGTGCTAAAATTGCTGAACGCTGGTAGTTCAGATCTAGGTTCAATTCCAGACGAACAGGCTTGCTGCATGGGCATTTTCATGGTTTTCTCCATGTGTAACACGTATACGAGCCTGTTCCCCTTAGAAAGTCCTCCACGAAATCATCCCTCCTCTTAGGTAGATATCCCTCGGGTGCTGTGCCATTATCAACTAAACCAAACCAAACTGCATTGATGTGCCTTCATGTCATGCCGTGTTGTTGTTTAAAAAATGTGCAGCTTTCCTCGATGAATTTTGATGTCAGAAAACTTTTGGCACAATCATTGGGAAATTATGAAGGATAATAATTAATTTTTTCTTAATACTGCATTGTACTTTTATATGTACAAATAATAATAAAATAAACAAACTTTTGTAATGTATTTTTGTTCTTTAATTGTTTTCCTCCATGAAACCTTACCTTCACATTTTGTTTGCTTTGTACTAACTAATAAAATGAAGGATCATGCCTGTGAGCAGATTACTTCAAGATGTTTAGTAAAGCAAGTCTTGCATTCCATTTTTTATTGAAAACTCTTTTATATTGTTTGAATGATTATTTTTGTGTAGAGAATTTGTTTGTGGCAAGTAAAAAATGTATTTAGCTTGTTAGATAAGTTATAAATATTTTTATAAAATTAATTGAAATGATATATTTGAAAAAGATGTAGGAACTGACTTTTTTATTTGAAGAGTATTGCTGAAAAAATTCTTCATCATAGAAAAATTGGGCAATAATTTTCACTATAAGTGATGTGATTTCAGATTACTTTTTTGTAGCATAATTTGTTTGATAATAGATCTGGCATTTTTAATTAACTGAAGCTCAGTTAATGATAATTTTCAAAAAGAGACTGTAAGAATGATGTAATAGTAGTAATATTAAGTAAAGTGATTAAAAGTTGAATTCAATAAAGGCTCTATATCTACTATATTTGCAATTAATTATAATGCATTAACTGGCACATGAATTTATTACATTTGTATTACATGAAAATAAAATTTTTATCACTCTGCATATAAAAAAAATGGCCGTCACTATAATGCCTTGAAAGGTTTGTGAGGGGGGTAAAAGGGTTGTATAATGGGTTTTAAAACTCACATTAAATGCTAATTCAGAAGTCAAACAACATTAAATGGTTTGGCAGTATTACTGCAGTTACATGAAAACTAACTGAAAGTCTAGAAAGTTTAACTTTTAAATGACAGTCTGGTACAGAACGATGCAGGATAATGGGCACAATTTTAATTTCTTTCTGTTGAAAGAATTTACTGATTCCATCACAAAATTTGCTTTATTTAAATCTTCATAAAGCTGCTGAAAGCTTCGCATTTTGTTCTGGCTAGTCTATACTTAGTTTCAAAGAGCTTTGAAATCAGTTTAGATGGGCAACTGGCTTATTTAATGCTGAGCTTGTGAATTGCAACTTGAAATGCAAAAGTTGTTTCTTTAGCTGATATTAAAAATGCTGTGTAGCTTGCTTTAAAATACTGGTACCTTTAAAATATAATAGTATATTTGAGGAAACTCCTACTGCTGCTATTACACTTGCCTTGTATTTGACAAATTTTAAGTGATTTTTAATGTTCAAATACCACCATGAGCTACTGAAAATTCTGAAAATGAAGTTCACTTTGTGAATACAGTCACAAACTTTTTCGAAAACAAATAATTTCCGTTTAATTCATCAATGAACACAGTTTCTTTTTGACATTTTGGAGTTTAAGTTAATTTAATATACTGTTTAAAATAAGCTCAAAAGTTCACTGTCAGTCTGAATTAACCCTCTAAGCGGCAAGAATATTTATTGTGATATCTGTAAGAACATATACATACATGCATATTAAAATATGTCAATGAAATTAAGGCAATATATCAAAAGAAAACAAATCCAGGTATGAAATACCAGTAGAGGTTTTACATTAAAATCAAAAAAAAAAAAAAAAAATTGTTCTCATAGTAGTTTTCAGAAATTTGTGTTTTCTTAGCAAAACCCCTGGCCGCCCAGAGGGTTAAACTGATATAGAATATGCACAACAGTTGCATGGCCAGTGTAAGTTCTAGTTTTAAAAACTCTAACTGAAACAAAATGTCTAAAAATTGAAATAAAAGTATCTGGATCTCATAGGCTACATGTTATATAAATTCTATGACAGAATATCTAGATTTAAAAAAATAAAGCATCTAAATTTATTAGTTAAAATCCTAGAAATTTGGGGGAAGGGACAGGCATGACTAGAAGTGAGCAGACACTAGAAAATCACCTTTTAACCAAAGGTGAAAATCTTTAAGTAGTAGTAGACAAAAGTAGACACCTTTGGCTAAAAGGTAACACCTTTGGTTAAAAGGTGATTTTCACCTTTACCTTTTAGCCAAAGGTGTCTACTTTTGTCTGTCTTTAACAGACATAGTTCTGCAGCGCTAACTGTGGAATTTCACTCCAGTTTTGACGGAAAGCGTCTGGGGAGCAGTCCGAGTGTCTACCATCAAACTTCTCGAGAAGGTTTTCTGCTTGTCATGTATTTTAAGTGCCTCTTGCCATGCACATATTATATGCTTACAAGCACTTGTGCCTTCTTTGGGATTTGAACCTATATTCATCAGTGGTACTGTCAGTGGCACTAACCGCTAATACTAACTAGGTGTCTTAGAAGCAATTTATATAACATTAAAAATATTTAGATCTAGATGAAAATAATTTAGACTGGCAACAGTAATTGTAACAGAGGAGATACTTTAGTTGCCTAATTTCCATTTTACCTGAGGCGGCACTGTTTTTACTTTTTGTACATTTGGCACTTTAAAATTTTAACAAATAACTGGGATATGGTAACCACATCGTCAAACTGAGATAGCTTCTGTCAAAGCAAGATATATGGTGGTAAGATCTAAATAAATTTGAGCATTAATGCAGTTTTGGAAATTCAAATTTTGTCTCATAAATTAGATATAGGAAAGACACTATAAAGTAGAATATTGATTTATTGTGAAAATCAGTGAATTTTAGTTTATGATTAAAAGCAATGATTTCATTGTGATTTTTATTTGTACCTATTGTGATGTATGTATTTTAATTACAAATTTAATTATTATATCTAGAAAGATTCTTTGTTTGAAATCTTAATTTTTTTGGGAAAAAGAATTGAATAATTACTTTTTTTTTTTTTTTTTTCCTTTCAGATTTTAGTTAAATATTTTCTTGCAAATGATTCAGTTTCATCTGTTTTTGCTCTTCTGTTGATGGATTTCCTTGTAAAAGATGTGGAAGAAATTGGAGGTAAATAATAATAATAAGCTATATAACTTTTTCTTACAGTTTAAATTTTGTCTGTTATTTTAACCCTTTTCCTTATTTCATGTAGCTGTCAAAAATGAGCAGAACTGAGTCTTAGTTTGTTATTAATTTATACCTTGAGTTTTCAGAGCTTTATATGAGATAAATATATACATTCAGTTCTCACATTTTTCTGATGGTAAGCAAACACAGAAGTTTACCTCTTAAAATACACTAAAGTTGATATAGTACAACATGTGTATGAAGTTGGGATCATTTATATATAATTAGTTATTAATTTAAACTTTGCATTTTAAATTATTACTAATCTAAAATTCAGTTAATAGTATTTTCAAAATAGTATTTTGTCATAGAGAGTTTATTTTAGTTTCATAAATCTGTTTTAGTTTCTGTAAATCAGAAGAATTATTTTTAATTCATATTTTTCTTTTCTGTCATCAATCATTAAATTAACTCTTACAGTCTCTATAATGTCTTTAAATTTTATCACATACTACATTTATGTTTTACAAAATGCTGTATTTCTTCAATTAAGTCCCCCCCCCCTAAAAAATGACAATCATCTAAGTCTTTATCTCTATCATCATAAAATTTATTAGTTCTGTAGTTTTAACAATAGGTGCTATATATTATGCAATGTAGATAATCTTTAACAATATAATATAATAATCTTTAACAATAGCATGCATACTAAAGGTGATGATATATTAGACAGACTTGGCCAAAAGTATTAATTTCCTCATATTTTTATGATACCTTCAAAAGTAATTGTCAGACATAAAAAGTGTTTATTTGCATGCAGTTAAAGATACTCTTGAAGGTATTATAATTTGTAGAAAAATAAAACCAAGCAAACAACTCTTAATTCATTTTTGTCATTTTCTTTAAAAAAACAATCTCTGTTAAAGCTACTAAACTACATTATTTTAGTGGCAGTTTCATTTGTTGTGCTATTTAGCTGATAATTTTGAAAGTAATTTTTACAGAAAGATAACTTTAAACTTTCATTCAAAAATCAATAAAAAATGCTTGTGAGCTTATTGCAGATTTATCAGAAAAAACTGGATGTGTAATTATTGTTAAAATTTAAAGAAAGAGACTTGTTGCAGTTGGTCTGAAAGGTTGCAAAACTAGAAAAAAGTCATGGCTCTCAGGGTGAAAAAAAGTAATTAGGTTAAAACAGGCAATTCCACAAACAAGTTGCCAAGCAAGAACAATTAAATATTCTTTTCAGATTTTAAATTACGTTTAAAGGGGCATTTTTTTAACGTTTTGTATGTAACCTTTATTTATTAAAAATCATGTTCTTTGCAATTAAACCATAAAATTCAGTTCAACAGCAATGTCCCAAAATAATTTTAAAATGAGCATATCTTTAGAATTTCCGATACACTGTTCCGCGTGCTGGAGATAAAAAGGTTTTTTTTCCCCCCGTAGAGTGTTGCCATTGCTTGCTTTTAAATCATTGAGTTTGTTACTAAACAATTCGTTAAAGTTTTACAAAATATTAAATTGATCATAAAACAAATTCTAAATTTCAAATTTCATCTTCCACATGCCCATATTCGTAGGAGGATTACGTCATTCAAAATTTGATGGCTATATGTACCATTGTTTTATCACAATGCAAGAAATATACATTCTTTTATGCAAATTTTTCATTATTTAATTTCTTCAAATGTAATGCCGGACTCTAAAGTTTGGTGGCAACAGTTTGAAAAGTGATTCACCGTTTGTAGTGATTCAACGCAAAATCGCAAAACGAAAACAATAGTCCTTCAGGGACAAAGCCCCTTTGAACTAATTAACTCTGCTTTGTGCTTTGTTGTATTTCACACAAAAATAATCTTTCAAACATGTTCAAAATGTTTTTGGTTACAAACTAGCTTTTCAGAAAAACAAGTTTTTTTCGTGTTTGATACATCCATTGCATCATTTTAAAAAAATGCTGAAGAATGTAATACAGAAGTGTTCCATTGTAAAACATGGAGGGAAGAATCATTACTTCCTTGTGTACCACTAGTCTTCTACTCAGGGTTGCTTCTATCCTTACTGAAATGTACTGAATTGATTTGGTAATGCCTGTTGGGCCAGTGATGTAGATTCAAGCAGCTTGTAAATAAGTAAAGTTAGGACTAAATGCACCTATTTGATTAATAGAGGTAATGTGAGGAATTGAAATAGTGTTTGGATTTTTACAGTAATGAATGTAAAGTGTAATGAATGGCACTTAGGAAAATCCGGATTGGCATCACTAGCAGCACAGTCTGTTGTGAGTCTGGGACACAAATTTTGCACCATTATTACATCTATTTTGCAAAATTTTAGATTATTACATGTTGTGCCTTATTTTTTGCTGTCGTTGTAGTAATTGTTGTAATAAAGAACACATCCAATCAGTTCATCCAGTTTTCTGAATTTCGCTGTTTAAAGAAGTATCTCAGGTGATTGTCAACTTTATATGCTGTCATCTAACTGAGAGTAGCTTGATCACAGTGGAAAAAGAAAAATTTATTTATTTAAATCCCTACTAAAGCTTGTTGCCGTATATTGTAGACATTGTCTAATTACATATGTGCAATGTGCTTGATAAAGCCGTTTTCTCATGTCACATATGGTCTTTTGCACAGCAGCTAAAAAAACGTTAGCAGCTCTGCTAGATCAGAAACATCATATGTCATTTTTAACTTCTTGTTCTTAATTTCTTGAATTGTTTCCAAGATATAGAATAGGCAGTATATCTTGTAAAATTTCTATCCTTTTTCTCAAGGCAGTGTAACTTTTTCATACCTATAATGAACCTGATATTCTAAGATTTCTTCTAGTATATATTATTGTTTCTTATTATGTATTTTTTAATTCTTATTTTAGAAAACAGTAAAAGATCTGAAATATATTTACAAATCTTGGATGATATATTTAAGACAATAGCAATGTTTCCAAGTGACTACGAGAAAACACTGCAGGTATTTGGTACAGTTTTTCTCTTTTATAACAAATTAATTTTTGTTTAAGAATATGGAAATATGTTTGTTTGTTTTCATGGTTAACTTAATAATTGTAAGATAGCAATATTTTAAAGTATTACTAGTTTTGTTTAGAATTCATATATAAAGTGTTTTTCAATTCACAGCATAACTGATCCCTTGACATCTGTTTTTGTATAATGCTGCTGTTAAAGTCACTTAGAAGAGCAACGTATCCCAGTATGCTTGGTCATTTACAGATTCAAGCTTATATTAATGTTTAGGAAATAGTTTAGCTGTCTAAGTTGAAACAAGCAACTGATTACTCTGACTTCAATAAATTGTTATCAAAGAGAATGTAGAATAACAATTTTTGATTTAAAACAGTATTCAATTCTGCATTGTCATGAAAATATTATTAAAAATTTTGTATAATGTTACATGAAAATCTGAAGAGGCAAAGCTTTTCCAGAAAAATAAGAATTCAGGGGCAAGTCTGTTTAATAGAATAAAGGGCTATCTTGCTAAATTGGTGAGATATTGCCACGACTAATTTTTGCCGCCAAATTTGGCGAAAAATCGCCAAAATTCGCAGCAATAAAGTTTCAGTTCCCAAATTTAAAATTATTATTGGCTGAAGCATTGTAAAGTATCTGCTTTATTATCATTATCATCCAGGAATGATATGGCATGAATTAGTTTTGAAATGATGCAGTTTACGCCATTTATTGCAAGCAGTTACTACTTTGGGAACAGAAGAGAAAATAATCAAATTAAAACTGGGAGTTAATTAACTATTCCAACTAAAATTTAGTATTTAATATTACATATTTTTTATCTTACATATTTTTATTTTGTATTCAGTTTTTCTGTTTGCCATATATCCCTGTAATTTTAATCTCTTATGTTACTTTGTGATATATATATATAGATCACCAAGTTATTATTATCATATTGCTATGGAGTAATGTATTGTAATTTTTCTGTTTCAGATTTTCCTGCGTTCCATTGTTACAAATTCACTAAAATGTATTCTTCGTGCTTTAGAACCAGGCAATTATCTAAAGCTTCTGAATTCTCTTTTCACATCTGTTGGAAATGGGGATTTCAGTATACTTTCAGAAGAATTAGTTCCTATCCTTCCATATATGTTGCGAGGTGATATCAGCTTTTGAATGCCTTTTTGGATTGGGATTATTGAATTATGGCAAAGCACACAAGGGCTATCTGCCTAAAGGGAGGGATGCCTTTGTGAAGGATTTTCTAAGGGAAACCAGCTTGTATACACGTTACACATTGGGAAAACCACGAAAACGCCCATGCGGCCAGGCCATTCGTGGGATTCGAACCTTGGACCAAACTACCAGTGTTCAGCGCCTTTACTGCTCGGCCGCTTGTGGGCTCGAATGTCTTTTTGAATATAAGAAAACAGTTATTTAAAAGTACTAGGCCAGGGTTCCGTAAACTGTCGGCCGCCAAAAATTTTAGCAGTTTTGATGTTTCTTTCACTTATTATAATAATTTTACAATTGCCAAATTGTAATAATATTTTATTATTACAATTAATATTGTATAAATATTTTTATACAATGTATCTGAAAATAGATAAAGATAAGACAATACAGACAAAGAAAAAAACAAAAACATTTAGACGCATTATTTTTGTAATATAGATGTTCATTTTCCTTGCTTTGCACATCACGCTGTCATTTTGTCTGTTACTTATTTAAAATTTTCACATTGTTCTTAAAATTAGAAATTAAAGTTAATGACCTAAAACTGCAACAGTATATTACAGTAGAAGTGAAAAAATTGACAGTTTCACTCACGTGTGTGTTGGATTTGTGGAATAATTATGGGATCCCACCAAATTTTTGTAAATATTACAGGGTCCTGGGGGTCGCGAAAGAAATCTCAGTGATAAAAAGGGTTGCGAGTGAAGAAAGTTTAAAAAACCCTGCACTAGGCAATCTACAAATGAATTAACTTTAAAAAATTCATATTTCACTGAGTTTTCAAGTTATTTATATGTAGATTGCAAAATAGGAGTTTTAATAGAAGTTACAGATTTTTTTATGATAATTTTACTATGGATACTCTAAAGTTATATCCATCAAATGGTATTTAATTTATAATATTAAATTCATGAAAATGTTGAGTTTTATAAAGATATTTGGGAAATTCTATTCCAGTTGGTATTTCTCACTTGTACAATCATGACTATGATTTCTTTTATTAGCCTTTAATCTATTGGGCTTTTGCCCCACCATGGGCCAGGCTCGCTGAGTAATGGGAGGTCAACCTGAGTTTGATCCCATATGAGCAGGTTGACTGTATGATTGGTTCCCATGGTTTACCCTCTATGTAACCTATGTGTATCTATGTTTACGCTGTATGTATTATGAGCCAGTTTCTCTTAGAATGTCCTTCACAAGACATCCTTAGACATAAAGCCCTCATGTGCCATGTTTAATTAATTTAATCTAACCTAACTATATGTGTGTATATATATGTATATATTCTTTTCGTTTAGTACTATCGGTTAATTTTTGACATATTTATTATTAGGAATTTTGAATTTTATTTATTTCGTGTCTTTGTGGATTAGGTTTTAAATTTCTTATCAGTTATTAAATCTTCGCCTGGAAATAAAATTAAAATAATTATGTTTTAAAATAAAACATTTTGATACTTTTGATATATACCTAATACAGTCAAATGTCGTTAATCCGGACACCCATAATCCGGACCTCAAAGCTACAAACTTTCTGCGCATGTGCCGTGTTGACGCCTGCGCGTAAGACCTTTACGGCTGTGAATATGCATGTGCGCATGCGCATAATACATTTACGCATGTGCGTTTAATATATAACGGACGGTATAAGCTAAGCTAAAATTATCTAATTCAGTTAATGTTGCAGATTGCGTTGTTCCTTAATCTTCGAATTGGATCTGGCTTATTATTTTTTGCAGATTGTTAGAGCAATTTTATAAAAGTAAGCTTGAACTTTCGATTATGTCAAATAGAATTTCCGATATACATTTACTAATATGTAAAGGATCTACAAAGCAAAAAGTATGTTTCGAAGTCTATTAAACAAAAAGTGGAATTGCTGCAAAAAATGGATAAAGGCATATCCTTTGTTTCTCTAACCATTCCGAAATCTGTTTATCAATTTCATGCTACTCTGTGGGGGGGGACGTTGCGGCGTGCAATTAACTGCAAGTTGATCTGCCAGGACTATCCTTATCTTCAGGGCAGATGTTTTTATTTTATTCCTCTTATAATTCTTTACTAAATGTAGTATTTCATCTCGATGTATTCCGTCTTTGATATGACTTAAATCAAATTGCTTGTCATTATAAATATCACGAGTACACATCAAATAGTTTTTTGGTTGCAATTTTCTAATTTCGACTATGCGTAATGTATGCTTTACGCATGCGCGCGTTGAAAGAAATAAGTAAACAAATAAATATTAAGCTTTTTTTTTTTTTTGTAAATTTTGATACCCTTTAGATCATAATTGCTCTTTATTTCATAAATTACGGTTTCATATTTTTAATTTTATAATTTCTGCATGCCATTTTACCAGATTTAAACTGATGATCTATAATCCGGAATCGCCGAAGTCCCGATGAGGCCGGATTAAAGACTTGATTGTACTTGCGCTAAAGTTTCAGCATAATAAAATAATAATTTATTTACTTGTAGATTATTGAATATATTATCTCCTTTGAAAATAAAGTAGTTGAGTTAGAATTCTGTTGAAATGAATTTACACATTAGCGTATTTAAAATTTAATTATTAAAATGGAATAATTAAAAGCGAAAGTGCAACAAACAAAGTAATTATTGTCATTGACCAGAAATTAGCTGACTTTTTAAAGGGAAACAAACTAATTTTTGATCAATTAACAATTATCAATAGATTCAAAAGTGTTTCGTCTTCTTCTCAAGTAAGAATCAAGACTAAAAAAGCTGCTTAGCAAGATGGAGTTTAAATTATTCAAATTGCTAATTAAGAAGCAGTAAGAAATTGGTTGTTCTGTCTTACTTGAAATACAATCTTTGATTCAGAATATGCAATTAAATTAGTGAATAATTAATAATTAATTTAGTGAATACCCACTAAGTTGAATATTCTTATTAGTGAGTTTTATTTCCGTACTTGAGAAAAATATCTCCCCAACACTTTTGCCTTTGATCATATTAAAACAATGCAAACTTTGTGAAAACAAACAATGAAAACTAGTATACAAAATCATAAAATTTGCTCTATTTTAATTCACCAGTTTTATTCATTTTTATTCCTTGAGAGTCTTATGTAATTGTACAAATAATAGAAGGGGCTCATAGAAAAAAATTAAAGTAAAAAAGAAAAGGTTCTGAATGTTGTAAATGTGAACAATTCCTACACTCTGTCTTCTGTGAAAGCATTTTATTTATTTTCTGTGCTTTATTCATATTTACTTGCTTACTTACCTTTATATGCATTATCATATATATAAAAGTTATTCAAAATAAGTATTTTAAATATTTTTTTTAACAACAATAATTCATGTGATTGTTGTGTGTGTCCTTTTATATACATCTGTGTGCATTAAGTGTATGTCGAGAGATAGTTAAGATTTATGTATGCAAGAAACATTTTTGTCTTTGAGTTTATTATATCATTTAAGTGTAAATTTTCTCCTCATTTCATTTCAATATGTATCTTATTGGTTGAATAAAAGTGATGTCTTTCCATACAGATTTTAACTCTTGGCAAACTGTTCCCAAAAACGAGAAGTTCGTATATCAAGTTCTTGAATTGTGCCTTAGCATTCCTGTTCCATTCAAGGCTCTGATACCTTATGTGTCACTAATAATGAGACCTATAGTATCTGCCCTCAGTGGACCACAAAATTTAATTTTGCAGGTAAATGCATCTTTTGTTTTAGCTTATTATCATAATTCATGATCTATCTGGGAAAAAGTTTAGCTTCCAGATTATGAGATTACTTTTTATTTGATTTATGAAGATGATTAACTGTAATGATTTGGTTGTCTTCTTTTTCTTCTTTTCTGCTTTAAAAAAAAAAAAAAAGTGCAGATTTTTTTGTGCATTTAGTTTCTCAAGCGCATACAAATCAATAAGGATAATTTTGTTTTAATAAAGGTTTTATCTTCCTTTTCATAGTAGTTTTTTTTATAACAGTTACAATAAATTTGCTAATGATGTATCTGTCGCTTTTAGTTAATTGCTGATGTGATCTATCGCTTTTAGTTAGTTAATTTATTTCTTAAATGAAGCTACCAAAATGCTATTTTTAAAATTGAAAAAATGATACAAATTATTAAAAATGTATAAAGGAAAATGATTCCATTAATTAATTTAACAGCTTATTAAATTTAAATTCCTTCCAATTTTACAAAAGAAAAGCAGGAATAACCATAATAACCTGTTGTTATGAATTTCTCAGCCATATATATTACAAATGTCACATAGCATGACTAAAAAATAGTCATCACCTTTATTAAAGGATGTCCACTGTACTTCAGCGGCATACATCCCATACTACAGGATACATGACGTCTGCCTCATCATGTCGATTTAACATTTCAGTAGTAACAACGAAGCATTTCCTATGTGATATGTAGAATCATTAGCTTCAAAACCCCCCTGCATGATTCAACTGTTTAAATTCTTAGCACCATCTGCAGGATTGGCAAGTTCTTTTACTGTTTGATGTCATACCCTAATTGGCTCAGCTGTTGATAAAACCATTTATCACTCATGGTAATTGAGGCATGCAGTAATAATAGCTTCATAAAGTAAAAATTTTGGTAGTGTTAAAGTTTACAAGAAAAAAGTATCACCGACCTTTTTCAGCTTTCAGTACTTAAAATCATAAATCTTACTTTAGCACGAAGTAGCCTTTAATTAAAGACTCGCATCTTAGATTTAAAAATAGTCTCTATCATTAAAACACTATAACTGTGGTGATTATTTAAACAACAGAATCAGTTTCAATGAAAACAAAATTTATCATCACGAAAGAAATCAATGACGCTCCTCGCGTTGTTACATCATTCTCAAACTTGAATATCTTATACTGTTGCCATACACAAATTGCTAAATTATGCTAACAAAATAAGTAATGGATTATTAACATCCTCCCACCTTTTGATTATAAACCATAATCGAAGTATAAAATTACCATGAATATACTAAATAAATAAAACACAGAAATACAATAAGAAATAATAATAACAACCAATAAAAAAGTATTTCACTACAGCACTTATTTAAATTATAAGTCCAGTTTCTCTGGAATCTTAATTTTTCTACCAGTCCTACTAAATTTTAACTTGTTGTCAAACACACCATTATCCTGTTTAACAGGCTGCTTTGAGAACTTGGTCAAACCATTGGATTCCACAGGCTTAGGACAGTCAATAGGAGATGCTATCTCAAGAGGATATATTCTCTGAATAGGAAGAAAAAGTTCTTGGTGTAAAGCCTGCACTTTTACAAGCCGCACATTACCATCTTTACTTGGAACAAGCTCAGTAATATGACCTAAAGGCCAGTTAATTCTCTTTTTGTTATCAGCTTCCACTAAAACAATATCTTAGTTTTTTATTGTTCCCTCATTGAATGAGAGTACCTAAATATTCTGACGGAAATTGGTTCCTCAATTCTTTAACTATGATTTGTCTGTATTTGAGTCTCTTGGACAAAGAATTTTGTTTCATTAGCCTCAATATCTGGAACACTGCATTCATGAATGTCTTGAAGAAACATCGATGGAAAAATGGGCTTTATCACATCTCCTTCAGAGATATAAGTCAGAGATCTTGAGTTGATTACACTCTCACAGTCGGCCAGAGCAGTTGCCATTTCTTCATAATGTAGATGAGCCTTTCCTAACACTATTTTTAAGAGATCTTTCAGTATTCTTATTAGTCGCTCCCACCAACTGCCCCACCATGCGGCAGTCGGTGGGTTAAACTTCCAGTCAATCAAATTGACGACTCCATGTTTCTGTATGCGTTTCCAATCTAGTTGTTTTAATGAATTGACTGCTGCAACAAAATTAGGTCCATTGTCACAGTATGTAATAGTTCATCTTCCTCTGCGAGCTATAAATCTTCTAAATGCCATTAAAAAGGCGTCTGTGGAAGGGGCAGTAATTAGCTCAAAATGTACTGCTCTGTACGCTGCGCAAGTGAATACTAACACCTAAGTCTTTCTACTTTCTTTTAAAAACAGAGGACCAGCCATGTCAGCCCCTGTAATTTGAAATACCGCAGAATCTTTAACACGATTTTCAGGAAGGGTTGCGCATATTGTTTCCATGTTCCTTGAACTATATCTTTTACAGATTGTGCAATTAGCCACAATGTTTTTCACAGTCTTTCTTCCATTAAGAATCCAATATTTTTCTCTAAGCAGATTCAAAAGTATCTGACCACCTGTGTGACAATTCTTCACATGAACAGAGAAAATAAGTCTTTTCACAACTTCGTGTTTTGAAGAAAGGACGACCTGTTTCAGAAAATCTTCACTATCCTTCCTGTAAATAATCTTAGTTTTTACATGATAGATGTCACTATCATCTTTAAATACCTGAAGTGTTTTCAGTCTATCATGTTCCAAATCAAGGGATTCCTTTTGAATCATACATAACATCTTTAACTCTGCTTCACGAAATTCTGTTGCATTCAATTCTCTGTATCTCCTGCTTTGTACAATTATGCTTAAAATGCAGAATCCAGGCGACCATATGTACGATTCTGTCATAATTAGAAAAATGCCTGTAGTACCAATTATTTTCACAGACAGTTTCATTATTTGTCATCTTCCTAGTAGTTTTCAACTTCTCCCTTTCAATCTCTTCTTCATTACAGCTATGGTGGTTAAATGAATCCATGTAATTAAGGAATTCGGTAGGATCTTTCATCCAGTGTGGCCCCTCCCAACATCTTGATGTAATTAGATATTTCGCCTTGCAGCCTCTGGATTGCAGATCAGTGGGATTTCTTTCTCCAGAAATGTGCTTCCAAGCTGAAGGTTTACTGAGTTCTCTGATCTTAACACGTTTTCGCATGAAAAGCAGACTAGTTTTCATGTCTTTTAATCCAATGCGAGCACTGTTGTGGAATTGCTCCAGTAATGTTTATTAACTCTTTCCCATCTGAGGGCTTTAGTTACTGAATCTGTCAATCTCGCACCAATTACGGCTGCCAAAATCTCCATTCTTGGGATAGGGGCCTCTCTTAAAGGAGCAACTCAAGATTTTGCAGCAAGAAGAAACAGTTTTAACTCAATTGTTGTTCTAAATTCTTACATCAGATAGATACAAAATCAATAAAATGATGGGAAAAGTTTCTCAGTAAGCTACAGCAATAGTACAAGCCTGGGTGATTTTCGATAAAGTAAGTCATACGAAAACATTTCTGACAAAACTTATGGTAATGATACAATATGCAATCTACTACTTTTAGCTAATTATTTATTTTTTAGATTGTGTGTTTGTTATTTTAATAATTTTCTTTCCCCGCCGTTTTATCACTGTTTGAATATAAAAGCTACCTGTTAATAATCCATTACTTATTTTGTTAGCATAATTTAGCAATTTGTGTATGGCAACAGTACGAGATATATTCAAGTTTGAGAGCGATGTAACAACGCGAGGAGCGTCATTGATATCTTTCGGAATAATAAAGTTTGTTTTCGTTGAAACTGATTCTATTGTTTAAATAATCACCGCAATTATAGTGTTTTAATGATAGAGACTATTTTTAAATCTATGATGCGAGTCTTCAATTAAAGGCTACTTCGTGCAATTTATGATTTTAAGTACTGAAAGCAGAAAAAGTCGGTGATACTTTTTTCTTGTAAGCTTCAACATTTCTGCCATCCGTGACAGGACTATTTTCATATTTAAAGATGTTTCAAGTGATAAAAGGTTTTAAAAAAGAAGATTTGAAACAAGTTGTGGATGAAATCTGTGAATGTTTACCACCAACCATTACAATAGCAGGTTTAAAAGAAATTATTTTAAACAGTGCAGAATACAAAAAGGATCCTGAATTTGTTCAAGGTTTACTAGCAACTGCTATTTCGGATTGAAAATTGTTAGAGCAAAAACAAATTGAAGATCATAATCCAGCTTATCCTTTTCAATTTGTTTTTGCTCTATCAATTTTTAATCCAAAATAGCAGCACTTACTTGAAGAGCACACTTACTTAAATTTTCTGAAGTGACTTGAATAAATCTGGGAATTTCAATCTCACTTAAGCATTTTAATTCTTCAAGCCATTGTAAGAAATCTTTACAAAGTTTGCCAGTCAACTCCTCGTCCCAACTGAAACTTTTCTTCCATGCCTTTTGTAACATTATCTTTGGACAGACCATAACCGAGGAGAAAAAATCAAAAGGAACGAATACCTTATGAACCACAGATAACATGCTTCATTTTGTTATCTTTTCGAAATTAAAGTCATTTAACCATCCCATATTGATTTTCAGAGTGTACAGTTCTTTATTCCAAAGCAGACCTAATACTTTTGTTTCTTTCTTATCGTTGATTCCTTCGAACTCACCAGAATATTCCGATCTCCTTAGATCAAAACCGTTTTTGGACATCAATATCTTAGAATAGGAAACAAACTTTTGCAACTGTTGTTTAGTGTCAACACTAGTCATGACATTGTTGACATAGAAACTTTGCAACAGTCTCTTTTTAAAAGCAACCTCAAAATCTTCACTGTTTTCAATGTGGTGCTCTATAACTGAGGCCAGAAGGAAAGGGCTACATTTTGCACCGAAAAGAAGTCTGGCATGTTGAAAAACTCTGAGCTTTCTCTCTTCCATGTTTTCCCACCATAAAAATCGCAGGAAGTCTCTATCCTCTTTTCGAATACTTATT